CATGCCCAGGTCTTATTCGGTGACATCATTGTAAATCCGTTCCGTTTCGAGCATAATCCGATACAACCCCGAGATGCGCGGTGCCAGGCTGCCTGTATCTCTGGCCTTGGGCGTCAGCCCACGGCAGGCTTTGGGACCATATAGTGTCTTTACTCGCGATATACTTACCAAAACGATATCGCCCGTTGTCTCTTCCGGCGCCCACAATGGGTTGAACCGTCTTTATTCAACCGCCTCGGGTGCCCTCCGGGATGGTGCCAACCCACTCTTGCTTCAAAACAACAGCTTCAAATATACCCCTTCTACGTCTCGCATCATCTCTCAAACACGTCTTTTATGTTCAACTCCTCAACTTCTCCAAGCGAAGCCACCCGCGACCCCCACGGACCCAACTACCCGGTCAGCCCCGGAACCAAAAGAAGAAGTAGAGGAGGACAAGGGCTTTGAATTATCTGAGCGAGCAGCGCAGGCAGCGCAGGTCAACATGAGTGCCAGATTGGCTAAGGAAGGCGCATCGGGAAAGAAGTCCGGATTCGCAGAAATCTGGCGGCTTTTGAAGATCGCGCGCCCCGAATCCAAGGCCCTCGGTTTCGCCTTCTTTTTCCTCCTAATATCCTCCTCGATCACAATGGCAGTTCCTTTCTCCATTGGTAAAATCATGGACGCTGCGACCAAGGGTGTAATGGAAGGAGGCGGCGAATTGTTCGGCATGAGCATGCCCATGTTTTATACCGCTCTCGGTGGAATCCTACTTCTCGGTGCTGGTGCAAACTATGGGCGCATCATAATCCTTCGAATTGTTGGTGAGCGAATTGTGGCCAGGCTACGCTCTAAGCTTTTCCGTCAAACCTTCGTGCAGGATGCTGAGTTCTTCGATGCCAACCGGGTTGGTGATCTGATCTCGCGCCTCAGCTCCGACACTATTATTGTTGGCAAGAGTATCACGCAGAACTTGTCAGATGGTCTACGAGCTGCTGTTAGCGGCGCAGCTGGATTTAGTTTGATGGCCTATACTAGTGCAAAGCTGTCCATGATCTTGCTTGTATTGCTTCCTCCAATTGGCCTCGGCGCTCTGTTTTACGGTCGAGCTATCAGAAACCTCAGTCGCAAAATCCAAAAGAACTTGGGATCCTTGACTAAGATTGCGGAAGAGCGTTTGGGAAATGTCAAGACCAGTCAATCATTTGCTGGTGAAGTTATCGAAGTCCACCGGTACAACCAACAAGTCCGCAAGATTTTCGAGCTTGGCAAAAAAGAGTCTCTGATTAGTGCAACCTTCTTCAGCTCGGTGAGTCGGCAGTCTTGATTATTTTGGGCTTTTTTTTTTGGAACTTTCACTGACGTCTCCCTAGACTGGCTTGATGGGCAATATGACCATTTTGACCTTGCTGTATGTTGGCGGTGGGATGGTTCAGTCGGGTGCTATCAGTATTGGAGAATTGACTTCGTTTTTAATGTACACTGCTTATGCAGGCTCCAGCATGTTCGGCCTCTCTAGCTTCTATTCAGAGCTGATGAAGGGTGTGGGCGCGGCGAGCCGATTGTTTGAGCTGCAAGATCGTCAGCCCACGATTCACCCAACTAAGGGTCTCAAGGTTGAGACCGCGCGCGGACCCATTCGATTCGAGAATGTCACGTTCAGCTACCCCACCCGTCCAGCTGTGAAGATTTTCCGGGAAGTGAACTTTGAGATCCCCCAAGGAACCAACGTTGCAATTGTTGGACCATCTGGTGGAGGCAAATCTACCATTGCTTCCATTTTGCTCCGTTTCTATAACCCTACCGAGGGTCGGGTCTTGATCAACGGGGAAGATATCAAGGGAATGAACGCCAAGTCTCTTCGCAGAAAGATCGGCGTCGTTTCCCAGGAGCCTGTACTATTCTCTGGAACAATCGCTGACAACATCTCCTACGGCATGCCTCGGGCAACACGCTCAGAGATCATTGCTGCTGCACGCAAGGCTAACTGTCAATTCATTAGCGACTTCGTAAGCCCGCCCAGCATTTATTATTTCCATCAACCTAGCTAACCTAATATAGCCTGATGGACTCGATACTCACGTTGGAGCTCGTGGAGCTCAGCTGTCCGGTGGTCAGAAGCAGCGCATTGCCATTGCCCGTGCCCTCATCAAGGAGCCTGATATTCTGATTTTGGACGAAGCCACTTCTGCTCTCGATGCCGAATCCGAGACCCTTGTCAACAGTGCGTTGGCTGCTCTTCTTCGTGGTAACAACACGACTATTAGCATTGCCCATCGTCTTTCCACTATCAAGCGCTCCGACACGATTATTGTCCTTGGCAACGATGGAAAGGTCGCCGAGCAAGGCTCCTACGATGAGCTCAGCTCTAACCCGGATGGCGCCTTTACAAAGCTCATGGAATGGCAAATGAGTGGTGGTGAAACCACGCCCGCGCCGGGCGTGCCTATTGAGGCAGATCAGCTCTGGGAGCTCCAGAGGGAGGAGTCAGAGCCTGATCTGGAGGAAGAGGATGTAGAGGAGGTAGAGGAGATGGATCAGACATCCCCTCTGAAGAAGGACTAATGTTTATCTAACCTCCTCACTCCTGGCCATACCCTTACACTGCCATCTCGCGACTACGATGTCTGTTCATTCTTGTTGAATTCTTTTTGTTCAAATACATGTTCCCCCATCTACACTCACCTCTCATGGTACTCCCTTCTCATACTCCCATACACATTCTTCATGTTTGATTTTGTGATAGATTCTTAAGTCGATAGCGACTGTGTACAAATCTTGATAGCAATATTATTGTTCAAGTTCTACTTTCGTTGCTCGTTTGGCGAGAAATGGCGAACTCTCGAAAAGGTACATACATAGTATAGTTTTGAAGATAGTGGTCATTTAATTGGTGTGGCAGCAGGTGAGATACGGATCGCCCACCTGACTGAGTCCTGTGCGGATCCCCAGGGTCGTCGCGACAAATCTTGCTTAGTAACCAGTCATATGCCCGTCGACCTCAACAGGGCATTACAGCTCTTTGCTATGAGATAATCCCCTTGCTTTTACAGATTCTTTCACTTCTACATAAGAACACTTCTACATAAGAAGTGGGGGGATAAGACGACCATGAACCGCATACGTAGTCTCATTGCCCGTCCAGTGGCGTATGAGCGACTGCAGGACTCCGCCGTAGACGGCGCCGATGAGACAACAGATTCACAGGGACAGCATGAGTCTCATTTTTCACGATTACAGTATGGCATATTCTTCCTCCTTGGAGTGTCTATGCTGTGGGCCTGGTAAGTGGAACCCAACAGTCCCCGAACCCGGAGCAACAAGCTATATGTGTCGGGCCAACCAAACTAACGTGGAGCATAATATAGGAACATGTTTCTTGCCGCCGCACCATATTTCTATAACCGGTTTCAGTCGGACGACTGGACAAGACTGCACTATCAGCCGTCAATTCAGTCCGTGTCAACCGTGACCAACCTCGCATCCGCCTATGCCCTCGCAAAGCTACAGAAGAACGCCTCCTATCCCCGGCGAATAACGTTTTCGCTATTGCTGAGCTCTGTTGTGTTCACTATTTTGGCCTTCTCAGCGGTCGTAATGACCGATTCCTCGCCGCGGGCATACTTTGGCTTCCTGATGGTGATGGTGTTCGCCGCGAGTCTGGCCACTGGTATCAACCAGAATGGTGTCTTTGCGTATGTCTCCGGATTTGGGAGAGAGGAATATACCCAGGCTATTATGGGTGGACAGGGTGTTGCCGGTGTGCTGCCTTGCATTGTTCAGATCTTCTCTGTGCTGGCTGTGCCGGCAAAGGATGGTAGTGTTGACCAAGACCAAGCCCCCAGTATGCCGCATACGAGTTCGTCGACATCGGCGTTTATTTACTTTCTTACATCTACGAGTGTCTCGGTTGTTGCTCTGTTGGCCTTCCTCTATCTCTTGAGGCAACAGCCGTATGTGAGGCAAAAGATGGTAAGAGATGATGACGAGTCCGTTGCGGATGATCAAGAGCATTCCAAGACCGTCAGCCTCTGGACTTTGTTTGTTAAGCTGCGCTTCCTGGCATTCGCTGTTTTCGTCTGCTTTTTGGTTTCCATGGTATTCCCAGTATACACGGCGGAAATCAAGTCCGTCAACGACCCTGCCAGTTCACGGATCTACGATCCTAGTGTCTTTGTTCCCTTGGCGTTTCTCATTTGGAACCTGGGCGACTTATCCGGGAGAATGTGTGTGGCTATCCCAGGAGTGTCTTTGGGACAGCATCCCCAGATTGCTTCCATTGTGGCCATTGCTCGTGTTATTTTCATTCCCATGTACCAGCTCTGCAACGTCAACGGTCAGGGGGCTGCCGTCAGGAGTGACCTTTTCTATTTCCTTGTACAGTTCTTCTTTGGTGCAACTAATGGGTACCTCGGGACAAGCTGTATGATGGGCGCTAGTCACTGGGTTGTTGCCGACGAAAGACCTGCTGCTGGTGGATTTATGAGCCTGGTTCTTGTTGGTGGGCTAGCTGCTGGGAGCTTGTTGAGTTTCTCTATTGCTAGTGGTTGATTTTGGTGCCATATAAGTTGTGTTCATCTAGTAGACCCAAATATAACGAGTGACGAACTATGAAAATTCCTTCATTACTTGATCTCATGTGAGTACTCCTTTGTTTGGTGACCCATTGAGCCATTTAATGTAGCCCTAGTTTCCGTTTGACTTGGACAGCCCTAACTTGAGACTCCAAGTCGAACTTTGCCGGCTGTCACCGTCGTGGTTTCAATTGCTCTTAAAGCACAATTGGGACCTTAAATGATCTTTGAACAATCTCTATTCAGTTTTACGTTTCCAATTAGCCACCTGCTGTTTGCCCCCTCCCGACCCCTTTCCTTATTAGTTCCTTCATCCTTCACTTCCTCTCTTCTTCCTTCCCCCCACACTAGGTTCTTTTGATACTTGTTTTTCTCGGTTGTCTTTCAGTAAGACGAACCTCCTCGTGTGTCTTTGGTCCTGTATCTTACTATCTCTAGTTACTGATAATGATTTTCGATTCCTTGGCTATGGGCGGCTGGTGCCATGCCCTAGCCGTCCCCTCCTTATGGCGTCTATTGGGTGGATTTTTTGCTTTGGTGAGTACTGATATACAAAAAACTACAGGAGTGTGTGCCCACTAATATCGATTAAAAATATAGTTGTGTGTCTACTATGTGGGCTGGATCACCTACACTCTCTGCTTCCACCCTCTGAGCGGCTACCCTGGACCTAAGCTGGCTGCCATCACTCCTTTGGTTCATCTTATCTGGGACATCCAGGGTAAGCAGCACTCGACCATAAAGCGCCTTCATGACGTGTATGGAGACGTGGTTCGTATCGCCCCAAATACCCTCGTTTACCGTGCTTCAACCGCCTGGAAGGATATCTACGGTCACCGCAAGAAGGGACAACAGGTCTTCATCAAGGATCCGGCTTTGTATGCACCCACTCCCAACGGCGTCAATGCAATTATCACAGCCAATGAGCATAACCATTCCCGCATGCGCCGTTTGCTGACCCATGCCTTCTCCAACAAAGCTCTCAGCGAGCAGGAAGAAATTCTCCAGATGTACGCCGACATGTTTGTCGAAAAGCTCAAGGGTCTCATAGGCAGAACTGCATCCCAGAACATTGAAATCACCTCCTGGTTCAACTTCACTACCTTCGACCTCATTGGTGACCTCGCTTTTGGAGAACCATTCGGCTGCTTGTCAAACAGCACATACCACTGGTGGGTTCGAATTATTCTGGATGCTGTCAAGGCAAGTGCCTATCTCAAGGTTTTTTGGTTCTACCCATTCCTCGTTCCCTTGGTTCGTGTCCTCGTCCCCAAAGACCTTCTCCAGAAACGCCAAGCTAGCTTTGAGCTGAGCGTGGAGAAGGTCCGTCGTCGCCTCGCCCTGGGTGCTTCTCGCCCCGACTTCACTTCATACATAATCAAGCACTCTAAGGATGGAAAGGGAATGTCATCTGAGGAGATGGATGCAAACTCCGCGGTATTCGTTCTGGCCGGCAGCGAGACTACCGCTGCCCTGCTCTCAGGTGTGACATACTACCTTCTGCGCTGCCGTGACAAGTACGAGCGTCTAATTCGGGAAATTCGCGGTGCTTTCGATAACGAATCTGACATCAAGCTGTCCACCCTCGTGGAGCTTCCATACTTGAATGCCGTCCTAAATGAGGCGATGCGTATTTACCCACCTATTCCCTCCATGCTTCCACGAGTTGTTCCCGAAGGAGGAGCCATGATCGACGGCCGATACGTCCCCGGAAAGGTAAATACAATATGCCAGTGCTAATGTGGTGTGTGTGGCGGATTGAGGACAATATAGGAAGTATATGGAGCTCGTTCTAAAAAAGACAACTTCACCTTCGCTATTCCCATCCCCACACAAATCGCAACACGCAATTCCAAATTGATATACTTCAATACTAACAAAATTACCAACAGGTTTCCGTCTCCGTCTCTCTATACTCTACCTTCCACGCCGCCTCTCACTTCAAAAACCCCGAGGCATTCGTCCCAGAGCGCTGGTTGAACGAGTCCGACGAGTACAGCAACGACAAGAAGGAGGCTTTTCAGCCTTACTCCTACGGTCCACGCAACTGCCTCGGCCAACAGTAAGCAAATATTCTATTACCACCTACTCACTCCACCCCATATTTTCGCCTCAGCTGTACCTGGCAGTGTTTGCTAACAATTCATCTACAGCCTTGCCAACGCCGAGATGCGCCTCCTTCTCGCTAAGCTTCTGTGGAACTTCGACCTGGAGCTGCTGCCCGAATCTCTGAACTGGACTGATCAGAAGTCCTTCTCGCTCTGGAGCCGACCTGAGCTGATGGTCAAGCTGTTCCGTGTTGGTGCTGGATCTGATTTGTAATCTTTTTACATGTACAACACCACGATATTACGCCATTTCCTTTTCTTTAAAATACATACCCAGTTGGGGCTGTCTCAACTGTGGAAAAGCATGGGGCCGAAAAGCGTTTGTTTTGAAGACTTTGCGATGCCGTTTCTTTCTTTTTGTCTCGGGCTAGACTGTTTGTTTCGTCCTCCCTGGGATCTTTGAACATAACATGCAAAAGATGGAAGCATCTGGGAGTGAAAATTCAAAATACACAGACTCAGAAAGAGCTAAAAACTGATAGACGGCCTATGGCTGTGACATGTCCAAAAATTTAATCTGATATTGTCATAATCTGAAAGGAAGTAACATGTATTCCGTATAGAAAAATGTAGAACACGAAGATATTGTATATGCGAGTCCCTTATGCTGGTGACCTATCCAAGGTAATGCACCTTATACTCTAACACCAATCCCCCAATCCCACAGTATGTAAACAAATGATAACCCCTAACTATGCAAACTACGAAATCCATGCAACTCTCCTATGTGCGGATGCTTTTTGTATACCAATGGATCATCAGAAAAAATCTTGCTCACCCAGCCATTGCGAATCCATCGCGTAGGCTACCAAATCTGCGGCGCAACACATGTCTTCATGTCCATGCTCCAAATCGAGAAGTTTGAGGACGGCTTTTAGCCTGCCCTCCAGCGTTTGCTTGAGCCGCGAGATACCAGATTGGACATCCTTAGTTTGTCTCTCCTTGACGAGGGACCCGGCCATGTTTTGGTCTTTTGCTTTGGCTGTCTCCGGTTTTGGTGTCATCTTGTTGGGTGAGCAAGATGCAAGAGCCTTTCGTTGTGGCTGCGCAGGGGAAGTTTCAGGTTTGCGGTTTTTGAACAGACTCTGAAGTAGGAACAGTAGCCAAACCAAGTTGGTGCGTGGAGAATATTCAGCCCAAATGCCAGGAATATCCGCCACCTTTTCTGTTTCGAGGGGGCAACCAGTATAGAGTGTTGCGCGCATACTGATTATTTAATGTTAACAAGGAATTTAAGCAAATAACCGGAGATGGGGTCACTTACTACCGGTAGGTGTTTCTTTGCATAATCTCATCTTCGTCTTGGCCAATAGCATCGAATAATTGCTTTTTGTCCAGATCTGATGACGCAACCTCAGTGAGACCAGTGGGATCATCGGTCAAGAGTAGATCCGCCCGAGAGAGCGAGTAGTCGATAATGGTAGTTTCAAGGGAGCTGAATCCAAATCCACTAGAGGACGGATGACGTGCAATATCGAGTTCTGTGGGCGGATCCATGCAACCATCTTCCCTCGTAGAACGTATACAAACATTTCCCAAATGAAGATCTCGATGCTCAAACATAGCATACTCCTCTGCCCGGGCCAGAGCCATGGCAACTCCCCAGAAGATATCGTAGATCTGGAAGATCGATGACCAAGCGAACTTCTCTAGTTCACATCCCGCATCGTCCATCTCCACAATTGCCCATAGCTGCGTGTCGGGATAAGCTCTTTTGTTTGACGGGTTGGGATTCATGCAGTCGTCCTTGGTTTTCTTGTAGTAGTCCCATGCATTTTGGAATGACTCTGGGAAACGACCTTGAACAACATGAATCTCTCTAAAGCGAGCAAAGCCAGGGATGGGGTCCAAATACTTGAGCATCTTGACCTCGGAAACAATTTCATCAATGGTAGTAAACTTTTTGGATCCGGGGCCGCTCTTGGCTCGCAGAGGCACGACCTTGAAGACTCCATCGCCATATGATTTCAGTCTAGCTAACTTTGATTTTGAGACCACTGGTCTACAAGCTTCCTCCCGCAGGTGAAGTTTGTAGACCTCACCGTAGGATCCCTCTGCGAGTTTTGCGACATTGAACATGTTTGCTGATCGCGAAGCCCATGAGTCGAACTTCTGAATGCCTTGCGCGGCAATTGGAGATAATGCCTCACTCAGAATCGGGCCAACATAATCGCTGGCTTTGCTGTCGTGAACAACTCCAGATGACCGCCTCTGAGCAGGAATCTTCTTTCTTTCCGCTCTCCTTCTGTCGGAAGATGTGCTTGACTTTTCTCGATCCTCGCTTGTGCACTCTGACGTCAGAGCTGGGGAATCTAATGTGAATTGAGGGAGGTTTCCTGAGTCCTTCGAGCATATTTGAACCTCCACCGTTTCGCATCGATTTGATTTTGGCTTCGCCTCCGGGGAGGATTCGACGACCGATTGCGTTGTCGGGGTATCCGAAGTGTCCTCTATCGTGGACGAACTCAGCTTATCATAGGAAATTTCCGTCAACTCTTGCTGCTGTATGCTCTTGATGTTCGGAGGCTCTGCAATATTGTCTGGTTCAGGGGTTGCGTCATCGTCGATTGTTACTTGGGCTAGTTTCGCTTGGAGGCTTTCCACAGGGTCAAAACGTTGGGTTGTGGATCTGGTTTCTCTGGCCGGGCTTCCTTGGTCAAATACTGCCCTAGGGGCATCGGCTCTCCGTTTCCCGTACACTCTGCGCTGAGCCACCAACTTGGGTTTGGATTGTTTGGGCTCCATTGGTGTCGCGTGACATGTAAGTGGCGAGCGTGGTCGGGGTGATGTTATCGGGGAAGATTTATACACCCAGTAAATTATTCTGGGATGTATATCTATGTTGTATGTTAAGCGGATTAGGATAGTTCGACAGAATGAGATCGAGAAAGATGATCTGGGCCCGAATTGGATTATGTTGATGTTTAGCCTAGTTAGGCTTAGCGCGGAGTTGCTGCGGTAAAAATATTCTGCCTTTGGTCTTGGGACTTGTATATTTTGTACAGTGTAAGTACAACATAGTTATACGGAGTACCTATGTATCTTGTTATGAACTATTATGTTGTACAATATTGGAAGATTTGGCCTCTTATGCGGCCTTGTGGCTTTTCAGTGGTTTTTTTTTTTTTTTTTCAGTGGTCTTCCATTCCCACCTGAGTGGCGCCGGTGGTTATACAAGGGATACATTCTTGTTTCCATTTCATTGCTCTAACTACGGAGTAATATTGAGACATACTGGACATGCTCTTAGAGTCTTTTCCTTGCATTGTACATGAAACGAACGTGGGACTCAGACCTTTGATCTGCACCCTCGTTGCTGTTGTTGTATGGTGTACTCCGTATGGAGTACATAGTACGAAGTCGGACATGGCTTCAAGTTCAGAAACATCCCGTGTTTTTCCCCCTTTCTCCGGATTTCGGGAAAAGATAGTCAGTCATAAAATAGTCAATAGCCCAAGAGTCTAGATACATGCAAGCCGAATATCCCTGAACGGTGAATGGCCCGGGGCCATCCACAGTGGACATCAGGCCGGGGCTGACCGGAAGTGGTTCCTGCAAGTCACATTGTGACGTACCGGCCATCTAGCAAGTCAAGAGGATATAAGATATAACAAAGAAGCAAATAAAAGCCGTTAGAATGATATATCAAAATATAAAAAAAGTTGGAAACTGAAATTATTAAAAAAAAAAAAAAAAAAAAACAAATTAAAAAGGAAAAAAAAGGTCAAGTCAAGTGGCCCCGGAAGCACGCGCCTCGGATTTGCCATTTTTCCTGGTTTTTTCATTTTCCGCCTCCCGCCCTCGCGATCTCTCCCTCTCTTTGACTATCTAATGTCCTTTTAATACATTTAATATTCTCGATGCTTGGGTATGGCGTTCAACTTCAACTGGTCGCCTTTGATGGCGGACGCGAGTTTTTACACTCGCGCCCAAGATCTGCTCACTGCCGCTCTTAATAAATCGCCAAAACCTCCCATAATCGTCGATGATATTCACGTCACCGAGTTGAACTTGGGATCTATCCCCCCTGAACTCGAGATTTTAGAAATCGGTGATTTGGCTGAAGATCGCTTTCGGGGCATCTTTAAAATGTCCTATACTGGCGACGCTTTTCTCACCTTGAAGACCCGAGTTCAGGCGAATCCACTTAATACCTTCCTCCTCACACGACCAACTTTCGGCTCGCCAGTACCTCTTGCTGCCGCGTAAGTTCATCTCACTTATCCTTTCACATTCGACTTTCCTATCTGACACTGTCACGATTCTAGTACCCCGCTCACTATACCTCTACAAATCACCCTTTCCGACTTCAAACTCTCCGGATTCGTCATACTAGTCTTTTCAAAACAAAAAGGAATTACAGTCGTGTTTCGCAATGATCCCCTTGAGTCGCTCAAGGTTTCCTCGACCTTCGATTCAATCCCGTTCGTGCGCGACTTCCTACAAAAAGAAATCGAAGCCCAGCTTCGGATATTGTTCATGGACGAGCTCCCCGCCATCATTCATCGACTGTCGCTCCGGCTGTGGGTTCCAGAATATCGCACAGGGGAGGAAATGAACGACGAGACCGATAACACAGCCAAGTCAAGAAGCGAAGGCCCTGGCCAAGATCCTCTAGCTAGCCCGCCACAAGATCCCGTCGACTCTCTCGGAAATGCATTGAACGAATCCGAAATCGCATCGCTCTCTTTAGATTCATCGGTCGAGACCCACTCCCTCTTTTCGCAAAAGAACCTCCTTCGCTTGGCCGCTCTGACTGATTCACAACGCACCCTGTCCTTATTCACTCCCTCGATCCAGGAAGTGGTGTACCGAGCATGGACTTCCCCAATCGATACCAGCGAATTCCCATCGAGCGTGGTCTCTCCACCGAGCCCAACCCTTTCGCGCACACAATCGCAGATGGGAAGCATGTCTTCACATCACGAGACCGCCAGCAATGTCTCCATGCAAAGTCGACCCTCCATGTCTAGCCATTCCTTCAGTACTAGTACCTATGGTCTAAGCCTGGGCGCTGGACGCCATTCCAAAGCCCACTCTCGGAAACGCAAGAAGCGTGTTGTGGACCTGCGGCGCCCCAAGACAACCGATGACGCCATGAGCGTAAGCGATGAAAGTGTTGTGACCGAGTCGTCCCGACCCCCCTCGATCGCCTCCGCGCCTCTACCCATTGTGAACGAGCCATCAGATGACCCAGTCACGCCACCTCTCTCCGCCCAAGTCGACTCCCATTTGCCGATCATTCCCGAAAGGCATTCGTCCAACCTCCCCCGCTCAACACGCCAAGACGGGGACTTATCATACTCTCATGACACTATCCGTGGACCTAAAGCAGAAGATGTCGATGCCACCCCTCGTGCTACTATGCGCGGTTATCCCCAGGAGAAGGCCGAGCCGGGACCTAGCAATCAGCGACCTCAGTTGCCTGCGACTATTCTCCCTTTCAACAAAGACGAAAGGCCCAATGAAAGCGTCGATTCCGTCCTGGTTGAGAGACTTGCCGGTGAAATTGCTCGTCGGATGCGCGAGGATAAGCTTATGACAAATGCATGCAGCGGCTTCTGGAGCCGTCAGCACGAAGACAGTCCTCCCCCGGCCTATGGCCACTGAGCGCTTAGCTCCCTATCTTTTTTACATTTGAGCAACCCTCGAGCATGACCGTTACGATTTCTCTTTCACTTTTTTCTTTCCCTTTGCAGTGTCTTAGTTCTTTCTTTTTTTTTTCAGGTCGATTGATATTTCCTTTGAGCGGGATTGTACAAAACTGGGTTCTGTCATGGTACAGCTGGCGTTGGATTATGTTCGGGGGGTTTCATTTTTACATGATACCACACTCTTTTGTCATTAGCCCTTTTTTTTTTGTATTGATTATTTTAGGGGAGGTTATGGGGGATCACCTAGACAAGATTGGGATGTCTTAAAAAATTATATTGTTTTTCTGTCGTCTAAAATGTCCCGGGTAAGAAAAAAAGCTGGAGAAAACGCTAGACCCGGGAGGAACTTAGCTCCGCACCGGGGCACCGGCCACCGTATCTCAATTCCTTCCCACTCCTTTCCCTTCCATCCCATCATTCCAATTCCAATATGGCGGGCATGTTCAAGAACGTGTTTGGCGCCCAGGAGGCTAAGCCCGATGATGGTATGTTAATTGATTCATCTCAATTGCTGAGCTGATTATGTTAGACTTCGCCGACTTCGTGGAAGCTCCCAACCCGTCGCCTGCGTCCCTCCTCGCCGACACGACCACTGTCCCAGCTGCCAACACACTGGCTGCCAAGGCTATCCCTTACACGGCCTGGTATCGAGTATGGGAGAGGACATCCCCGAGCGATTTCAAGCAGGAGGCAATGATCATGCCCGTCATCCTCTTGATTGTCCTCTTCCATTTCTGGGGAACGCGCAAGAACCGACGTAGGGCCAGGGACTGGGCGCAGGCCCATGCACCTTCTCTTCAGAAGGAATTCTCTGTCGTCGGATTTGATGGAATCGCCCGGCCGGCTACTGTGGACGGTGATGCGATCACCGTGGAACTTGCGAACCCCGAGTCGCTGCTGAAGGAGAGGTCCGCCTCCGAGTTCGCTGCGTATGCGACTGGCCGCCAGAATGTTGCCTTCCTCGACGTCAACATCAAGATGCCTAAGCGATACAACCCTATCACCTTCATCATGGAGTATGTCTTCAGCTTCTTCTTTGAGAGCTGGGAAGCACCCGTTGAGAAATATGAGGCTCTGCTTTATGCTTTCGATGGCAAAGAGAAGGACCTTGTTCCCGTTCTCGCTAAGGATTCCGCTCCCGTTAAGGTACCTAGCTCGACTTACGACGGTTTCATTTGGGCTGTTGTTCACAAGAGCCACATGCGCAAGTTCCGTAACGACCGCTACGATGCCTCCCTCACTTTCTCCAAGGATAACGCCAAGCTCCCTTCATGGGTCACCGTGATGACTGAGAGTGCCGAGATTAGCGATACTCTCCTCACTCCGGAGCTGATCCAGGCCATTGAGCAGGCTGGTAATGACTTTGAGTACTTGATCGTCACCGACCAGCCCGTCGACAGACCTACCAAGTAAGTAGCCTCAGTGCGGGACTTTGATCGGATCAGTTGTTAACAAATGTGTGTCACCAGGATTGACGAGACCATCCCGAAGAAGCGCATTCAGCTCTCCGCTAACCTCGCCTCCTCCGCGTCCGGCTATGCTTCCACCCTTCCTTTGTTCAACCAGTTCCTGCGCTTGTCTGACAAGCTGGTCGCCTCCGCTCACTTCCGTGGCGAGGTCATGCGCAAGGTCCGCGGCGTCCGCGAAGAGGAGATCAAGAAGCTTCGCCGTGTTGAGGAGGAAGAGAAGGCCGAGGAGCGCCGTATTGCCGCCGAGAAGATCAAGAAGGATGAGCGTGAGCGTATCCTGCGTGGCTTGAGCGCTGATGAGCAGCGCAAGTTCCTTGACCGCGAGGCTCAGAAGGGACAGAGACGCCTGGCAAAGAAGAGCACCCGGAAGGGTTAGACGGGTGTCTCTGTTCTGGAGGATTCTTATTCTGTCTTCTCGCTCCTTTCTGTAGAAAAGATGCGGGTTGAATGTCTTATCCTACCCTTTTGATACCTTTTTAATTTTGATGTACTCATATTTATTTACGGAAGATATATATCTACCATCTGGGGATGTAATCTTTCAACGTTTAGCCATATTCAATGCAGATTTTATGTTCAGATCATTGAGTTATTGTCTGATTCGAATTCCAGGAAGCAGCGAAGTAGATGTCCAGGTAGCCTTGCTACCTCATACCTGGGCACGGAACATCTCAACCTCACCTCACCACTTCAATCCCGCATGAACAGTCATTCCAATTATCCTTATATACCCGTGGACTCCGTCCTACTCATTCATACATTGCAATGCATTTCTTCGCTCCCTTGATTCCATTCCTTCTTTCAACTACCTTATCCCAAGGCGCTCCCACAGTGAACAGCATCAACAATACAATGGTCAATATCACCCAGCTCAACTCCTCCGACTTACCCGTGGGAGCCATAATCACCCACTGTAACACTCCAGGCACAATCGCCCTCACTTTCGACGATGGCCCATACATCTACACATCCCAGCTGTTAGATACTCTCGCCGAACACGGCGTAAGGGCAACCTTCTTCCTCAATGGTCATAATAAAGGAAGCATCGATGCCTTCCCCGAGGTAGTGGAGCGCACATTGGCAGAAGGACATCAGATAGGGTCTCATACGTTCGTTGATGCCATCCACCCACCGTCCCTCCACCAGCTCAGCCTAGCCCAGCCTAAGCATCAATATACACTAACTAAATTATCATCAGGTGGGACCACCTTTCTCTTGACACCCTTTCATACGAAGAAATCGTGCACCAAATGACAGTTCTTGAAGATACCTTTTTGTCCGTCCTAGGCTTCTTCCCGACATACATGCGTCCCCCATTCCTCAGACATACCCACGTTGTCCTCAACGCCATGGCCGATCTGGGATACCATGTTATTGGGGCTAGTGTTGATACGAAGGACTATGAGAATGATAATCCTGATACAAACTGGATTAGTTTTGAGAAGTTCTCGAGGGAGGTTGATTCTGGTGGGACGATTGTGTTGGCGCATGATTCGCATCAGCATACGGTCCAGCTTTTGGTGCATAATATGCTTGCTGATATTGATAGAAGGGGGCTGAATGGTAGGCTTTTCGTGCAGTGATTATAGGCTGAAACTAACGGATTTTGCTTAGCCGTTACTGTTGGTGAATGTCTTGGTGATGCGCCTGAGTATTGGTATCGTGATGGGAGGTAGATGGCGTTTATGGGAGGTATGTTCTATTTTCTGGTTCCCGGATGATTGTTCTTGTCTTCGTAGTATTCATACTTGGACCAGACGTCTGTGTATAGAACCATTAGGTTTCATTGAACCTATACGTTATTCTTCACAAAGCCATTTTACAGACAGGCACACCTCGCCAATGCAACTCTAGGTTATCGACCTGGACCGCCTATCTTCATATAAACGGGCTACTACGCTCATGAGGATGTTACCACTCGTGTAGAGTGGATATTCCTGGACGACATAGCTGATTGAGTAAACAAGACGAATTCCTCCTGTTTAATATGACTGTGAAGGTATCAAGTCTATGTCATTCGTCAGTAACTGAAGGGTAGATGGGGATCCCAGCATTCCAAGTTGCAAAGTGCACCCGATTCCTGGACACGTTATAAGAACGCGCAATACTTACAGATCTGTTTAGCATACTGCCTCGTTTTATTCGACCCTCTTTCATATAATTCTTTAACGCTGCCCAGCCCAAGGGCTTTATCAAGTCGAAAGTATAAGCGAGTTCCTTCGAGATAGACATAATAGCGCCCAAGTTGTCGAACTCGCCGCAATACTAGGGAAGGTTAGCAATTGCTTGAAAATGTTGAAAATCCAACTTACATTAGGAACCGAGAAGATGGTTACTAAGGTCCGGTCCTGGGAGAACTCATACCCATCCTTGACCACCATATGGGACCGGCACACCAGGTCAAAACCGTGTCGGTCCAAAAAGTTCTTAATGACCTTTTTACTAAAGCAAAAGCTCACACCGCGTTCATTGGGCACCCAGTCTTCCTGCATGTTCACATCTGTCGGGTCACTCCATAAGAGATCGGTCAGAAGCCCATGATCGGGTATATCAGTAGGACGAGCGATTCCGCGAATATTGTCCACATGTAACAGATCAGGAGACAGCCCGCCATGAACGCAGAAGATATTGTCGGCTACAATCGCCGCGATTGGGAGGCAATTGAAAGTTCCAATCAAAAGTTTCCACATCTTAGCACTGCAGCGCCACTTACACTCGTCATAGAAGCCGCCCATTCTAGTAACGCTAGCGCATTCGTGGCTGCCGCGAAGAAGGAAGATCTTCTCCGGGTACTTGAGCTTATAGCATAATAGTAGGAGAATAGTTTCTAGGCTCTGCTTTCCTCGGTCTACATAGTTACCGAGGAAAAGATAGTGCGATTCCGGCGGAAATCCGCACGTTTCAAGGACTCGGATCAGATCGGTATATTGACCGTGAATATCACCGACAATCTTAAAGGGTGCGGGAAGCTCTAAGAGCACTGGCTCAGAAAGGAGGAGCTCTTGAGCTAGACCGCAGATGGTGGTGATCTCGGCATCATTAAGACACACTGTTTGGGCGACTTTGGTCGAATACCCCATATCTAGGAGCCGAGAGATTATATCATCCAAATCGATGGAATTCAGAGCGCTCGTTGCCATATTGGGAGGTTCTGATATACCCAGAGTATCATTGGATACGGAATCTAGAATGGGGTTTAATTGGTCCTCCTTGATCAGGATGAATTCACCCGCGACTTGAGAAGTTCCAGCAGGCGGTCCAACACCAAGGGGGCCTTCCGGCACCCAGTCTACCTCGCTACTCTGTTGCATTGAATTCACAGCCTTTGAATCTTGCTTCAGACTGCTTCACATGAATAGCGATAGGGGAGAGTCAGGATTGTTGTTATATCGGGTGCCAAGCTACCCGGCCCAATGTGCTGCCCCACTCTCAATAACTTGGAAGTATCAGTATAGAAAGATCAGCCATACATGATTTACACTACCCTAATCTTCCAAAGTGGATAGATCTAAGACTTATAATATGGCCGCAGGGGTATCTCAGACACTCGGGTGCATGGCTAATGGTTTACTACCTACTCTTCGAAGTCGAGGGTACATAATCTGACTTGGTCAAGCATGGCAGCACGGTATACGGAGCAGATGCCCTAATCCCAACTAGTTAAATCTTTGAGTATCGCAAATATTACAATAATATTCAAAAACCAAGCACTATTCCCGAAAGAATAACTGGAGTCTTCACTTATATTAGCATATGCATTTAAGAGATATATTGCAAAAGCAAAAGGTGAAAACTGGCACACTCAGAGACCCGTCTTGAAACATAAGGTATCAATTTCACCATGAAAGGTAAGTCAAGATAAAATATCATCATCGCGTGCCATTTGGTTTTGTTTTTATTGTTTAAACCAAATCAAAAAATCAAAACGAAATGAAAGCATTAACAGAATGGAAGGACATCGCGTACCTGAGCTAGTTGGTTCCCAGGAACGGGAACCATCACAGAACAATTATCTTGAAACTGTTAGGTGATTCTGAATGGAAACAATTGAATACTCCAGACCCGTGTAGATGAGCAAATGATATTGCCGAGGGTCCATCTTTCAAAAAGCCATTTTAAGACGATTTAGGCAAACCCGAAGCATTTTTCGGGATTGGCCACATTCGAACTATTTACTAGAGATTTCAGGGATGATTGATGCAGATACTTTATACGGACCATCTGTTTACGCGAGAGGGCAGCGGCCCTATCTGTCTCTGACCCACGATGTCGTCACTGATATACATTCTGCAGAAGAGCGGAGTAATATCAACTTTTATGGAGAACGTTGGATATTCGCTAATTGGTCAGGTACAAAGGTTTCTGTAATTGTGTGATATCAAACTAGTACCTCGCTATTGTTGTAGTAGTCTTAGAAAACGCTTGACCCAGAATGTTCAGTGAATTCCCGAGAGTAAACAAAAGCAAGCTAATATAGGATAATGATGAGTGGAGACAAAGCAGCCAACAGAAGAAGTGATGCTCTTCCAAGGTTCAGGCCATCCATTAGTGGTCAATAATCATTGATGTGATGGATTGCAGAAAAGTCTCACAAGATCTTTGTAATGAAAGGATCGATAACCACTTCGTGGTGATCATTACATGTAGCGACGCTGGTAACACCGGCGGTGGGGCATGATTCAGGATAAAAAATGAAAAAAGGAGGCGGGTAGAGAGCCCAGTCTCATATGAGGCTGCATTGATCACGCAGTGTGACGATTGTTCCTCTTCTTGGCCTTGATCATTTCAGCATCGGAAATCGCGTTCCAGACAGGTTCTGCTAAATCATGCAACAGTATTTCCGCTGTGAACACGAAATCACCCTCGCTTCCCGCTGGCTCATCTAATAGCAGAGTGTGGAATGGTATAACCAAGGGCCCTCCTACAATCGTAGGGCTAGAGCCATCTTTCCCTCTTGTAATAAGAATTCTCTGAGCCATTCGAGGTGGCGGTGGATCTTTGATGCGTCTGTCGATAACTTGGCGACCAGCTGCTGTGATATAGATATTGTGTAGTGATGGTTCGAATGCTGGAGTCCAGGATTTGATTTCAATAGAGCGAGATCCTCTTTTGATATCGACAGTGATCCCCATTCGTACCTCGCCCTTTGATCCAGTAATCCACCAAGCAATGTCTCTCTCTAATTTTTGTGTTGTCTCAGAAAAGCCAACTTCTAATGCCACCGTTGGGAATTCTCTCGCTTGGAGGGTTGGCTTCCAGGATCGGTCTGCCTGCTTGCTTCGCCCAGGGGTATCTATAAGAGTCGCTCCGCATTTCGCGATCCGTCTGCTGACGCTCATCTTTTGCGCGAGCGCTGAAAGAATAACCTCAAAACAAGCCGCCGCTTCTTCGTGTGGCTGACCAGGCATTGTTATAATGAGAATTTGAAGTGATGGCGAATAGTCACAGCGACCTAGTAAATGACCCTCGTATTCGGCTAGTATCTCTGCCGGAAAGTTTTTCAAGACGATGAAAGAATCTTCGACCGAATACGGAGGAAGGAGACTCTCTATAGCGCACTGTCGGTTGTAACAGTAAACGGGCGTACCGGAGGGAAGGTGCGCGAGAAACGTCTCAGCACCTTCTTCTGGCACAACGCACTCCCTTTGATACACACGTGACATGATTTCTTGAACGGAGTAGCAGCGAGTATATTTGTATGGCGATATTCTGGTATCCTTAGTTTTCACCTAGACGAGAAGAGGGGAGAAATTATATAGATCGTGATGTGGGACCTTGTCACAACCTCGAGGCCATGATGTCATTAGGGTATCATTATTTCACTTACTAGTGTAGATGGAATAAAGGCTTTCCAATAAAGTAACACGCATAGATCAGGCATTCAAGGATGATTGAGAAATTGGCCGAGCTAGTCAAAGAGAGCGTTGCGTTTCTCATTTCCTTTGTTCCCGAATCAGATGCCTAAGCCCCAAAATCCTTTTTTCTCATTCAGGCGTTACATGAGCAACTCAAGACCATAACACCACGAGGGGTCAACATTGGAATACCGTTGAATTGCTCCTGATGAGTTGAGATAAAGAATTTTCTCGACCTTGCCAAAAACCGCCCTGAAACTAATGTATGTAAGGATTTCAGTGTCATTTTATTTTGTCAAGGTGTCTAGTAGGTCTGTAAAACGGAGCTCCAAAGATACCCAAATCTATAGTAGAATAGACCTTATATCTCCACTGAAATATGTTCGTGTACATGTAAATATACAAAAGAACCGTGGATATAGCGGGTATAGCGGGTAAAACGGGTTGTCACAATTGCTTCTTAAATGTGACGCTTTGAGTCATTTCAAGGTTGCATTTTCCGCTTTAAGACAATTACCCCAATTCCACCATTTTCCCATATCAGATGATTCATATTGCATTGCACCCTACACCATGACAGAGACAACTGAAGACCCTGAATCTTTACACAACCGACGGTCTTCCCTCATTGAACCTCCGCCCGATGGAGGAGCGAAGGCATGGACCCAAGCCTCAATGGGACATTTAGTGGTATTCAACACCTGGGGTTATATTGCCAGCTTTGGCGTGTTCCAGGCCTACTACCAATCGATGCTTGGCGTTTCACCATCAGCTATTTCATGGGTTGGATCTGTCCAGGTCTTCCTCATTTTTTTCGTCGGGACATTCTCCGGCCGGGCCTTAGACGCGGGCTTCTTTCGCCCAGTCTTTTATGCAGGGGTCCTTCTGCAGCTCCTTGGTGTGTTCATGACTTCGCTCTCGACGCGCTATTGGCAGCTCTTTCTCGCTCAAGGGGTCTGTACGGGCCTTGGCAGTGGCCTACAGTTCTGCCCCGTGATGGGACTGGTCGCTACCTACTTCTCTAGACGGAGGGTGTTTGCCCTGGCGTTTTGTCTGGTTGGGAGTGGGACTGGAGGCATGCTTCTTCCCGGCTTGGTAAAGGCTCTTATGCCGACGATCGGATTCGGTTGGACTGTCAGGGTGTTGGGATTTGTCATGCTCGCGACGAGTATCCCTACTATGCTTTTGTTGCAGACTCGACTGCCTCCGCGCAGGGCTGGTCCCCTCATTGAATGGGCAGCATTTAGAGAACCGACCTATGTGCTTTTCTGCCTGGGCATGTTTCTGAATTTCTGGGGGTTATACTTCGCCTTCTATTATATTGGTGCATTTGGCCGCAGCGTTCTCGGCCTGACTTACTCGGACTCGACCAATTTGATCATTGTAACCAATGGAGCAGGAATCATCGGTCGCCTTATCCCTGCCTATCTGGCCGATCTCAAGTTTGGACCCCTCAACACCATCATCCCCCTAACCCTTGGTGCTAGTTTGATGATGTTTTGCTGGGCTGCCGTCCATTCGACCGCAGGGCTGTACGTCTTTGCTGTGCTCTATGGCATATTTTCCAATGGTGTGCAGGGTCTCTGGCCATCGACACTCTCCAGTCTTACGCCCGACCTAAGCAAAACCGGAGTCCGCATTGGCATGGGCTTTACGGTTGTGAGTTTTGCCTGTCTGACTGGTCCCCCCCTAGGTGGAGCTCTCATTGCCAGAGCCGAAGGCTACATTGGAGCGCAGATCTGGGGCGGGTTGACCTTCCTTTTGGGCGCAGTGGTTCTGGTGGCTGCTCGTGTAGTGAGAACCGGAACGAAAATGAGGGCTAAGGTCTGATTCAGTTTTCTGCACTAACCCTAAGATGGTCCGACACTCTGTTCGTCGTGAGAACTGTGTTCTGTCCCTTCGAAGCCTCCTCGATTTTAATTCCGGTACACTTCCGGCTTACCGCGGCGTCATGGTATTCGAGACAGTGGGATTCATCTGGTACATGGTGGGTGTATTGTAAATATAATTTTTGAGTCTTTTGCGTGGCTCAGCAAGCAGGACAAGTTCCGTACATATAATCTTTTCTGTGCATATAATTTTAGGGTTGTTCGTGATTTGCATAACAGAATTTGTCCCAATCTCCTCATAGTAGGAGCACAGAAAGATATAGGATCAAAAACAAAAGAAGATATCTGTGAATATAGGCCGCAGATCGATTCATCAAGCATAGTTCGACACTCTGCATCTGGGGTTAGTCAACTTAGTACTCGAAGAGAAAAGAAAAAAAAGCTCACTCGATAAGGTTCCCATCAGGATCTCTCACATATACACTGCGAATCTTTCCAACGGCTCCAGTTCTTTCTACAACCTTGGCGCCTTCCAAAACCTATAGAGATTAGTCTATATCTACATATAGAAAAGTCTGTTCATACTTCCATTCTCGCATCCTGAAATACTTTCAAGACCTTTTCCACATTCTCGTCGGTCAAAAAGCACAAATCGGCACTTCCTGGCATAACATCCTGGGCCTTGGGTTCGAATTCCTTGCCTGATTGATGAAGATTTATTTTCTGAGAGCCAAAGACGAGGGCATGTCTATTATCGTCAATGCCTTTTAAAATAAGTTTATAAAAAAGAGGGGTTACCTCTGAATAGATTGGTTAGCTGGAGTAAAGATCTCATGCCGCATGCCGAGGTAGGTTGTATAGAATGCCACAGTTTTAGGAATATTGCGGACCGTTAGGACTAGATGGTCTAGAGATTTGACGGTAAATTTTCCCATATTTGTTGTACTCTTACGGAGTAACTAGTATGTATGAAGATGTGATATGTATTCGGTTGCCTGAACGGAGATGTTCCGTGGAGGGGGGAGAGCATGACTCATCATATATCCACCTCCAGGGCTCTTCATCTGGGCAATATACCCGAGGTTGTTCTCTATTCGGTAGTTTATACTCCGTACAACGTACTAACTAGTTCTTTAATTCTCTAAATATTAGCGAGATTTGCAGTTCGAGAGGGGTATGGAAGGTGGCTGAGTCCATGTTATCAATCACAATGCACTATTAGAGACAGAATGCAGCCACAAGCACATAATTTCACTTACCCCGCTGAAGCCCTGAGGGGATAGCTTCATGTATTATCCTTGGCATCATGTGGCTCAGCACTCGGTGAGATCATCAAGTATTGGATGATATAAATGCCGCAACAAGGATATGTAGCGCAAGATCAACTCATACAACCTACCCCTGGAGGTATAAAGAGCCACCCATCATAGGCCGGGTATCCTGCGACGAATAAACAGCCCAGCCATGTCCTATACCTACTATTCCAACGCTCGCTTATCGCACACATTCACTTCCAAACCCCGCAAGACTCTCAGATCACCAAATCGCGACATCGCCTTCCGCAACCAATACATAGCACGATCAAAGACAACCCTTGTGCTCAGACCATTTGGTAGCCCCCATTCAGCCGTCGCATATAAAATCACAGAAGAAGATGGAACGCCACAGTTTACGGTGACTGGCCGCAAATATACTGATCGATCATGTCGCGAATTCCGAGATCATTCGGGCCTACCGCTCTTCGAGCTGCATCGAAAATTGTCATGGACGAATAGTTGGTCAGTCAGCTTACCAGGATGTGACACCGCGACGATAGCGACTGGCGCTCCGCGATGGACATTGGGGAATACTTCTTTCGGGAATTTTGATCTTTCATTTGAGAATGCTGCTGCATTTGGAGGGAAACGCCTGGATGAGAAAATGCTCACTTTGCATATTGAACGGCATGGAAATGCGCTGGCGCTTTTCGATGTTGTTGATGGGGATAGGAAGGTTGCTGAAGTTCGGGAGAGTATTCATCATAATGAGAAATTGGCTTTGATGAGAGGCTCAAGGCAGGGGTATCGGCCTGCTATGGATGTCATTATAATGCCTGGGGTTGATATTTCGTTGGTGAGTATTCGAGTCTAAGCATTGTGGTATGTATGAACTGACATTTGTACAGGTTGCAACTATTGCTGTTATTGTATCCGACTGGGTTTTTGGGTCAAGTTGATTGAGCTCCTTGTTTTTCGTTATTCTAAGCATAAGTCAAGCAAGTCAAGCAAATGCCAAGGTGTTTCCAGTTCTTATTTTGGGCTTGGCAGGTATCTGAGGCGCAGGTTTTCTCTATCAACTTCATTTTACCCCATGATTCTACCACATTCCGTTGCTTTGTTGTGAAAACAAAAGCATACGTGCCACATATAAAAGAGTGAATCCTTTTACCCCATGAATCTTCATGCTATTATAGTACTATATATCTTATACCCTCTATGTACTATGGCTATTGATCAGCCACAATATCCTATCGATTCCTCATTCTCACATAGGACCTGCAAAGGTAATCGCTACCTAGCCTTGAAAACCTTCGTCTATCACCATGTTTATCCCGATAGTCGGTATCGTGACAATGACAAGCTACCTGAAACTACATAGTAGTTATCCTTTACTATTTAGGAGTACTGGAGAAACATCACTCCGGCAGCGGAAATAGTGTAACCTGTCACTTACACTTCTGCTACACATACATCCAACGTAGTAGCCACCTTATCGCATAGACACAGGTAACATGGTGACAAAAGTTCAGGTCTCACCTCAAAATCACAGTTGATAATTAACCCCGCACTACAAATTGGCCAGCGCATCAGCTTGTAGAATTGGAAGACCATAGCGTCAACTTCTTTTCCCCCTCCTTGAATCACCTTTCCCTGAGGATTACTCAGACTTTTTGTGAACCTCCATTGACATCATGTTGAATGTATTGAACGCCCCAATCATCACATCACTGAGTGTTTTGATCGTCTCTCTAGTCCTTTACTACTTCCACAACAAGATCTCAGAGCGTGTTCTAAACAACTTCCAAACCAGCGAGACATGGATTCCAGAGAATGAGCTAGTCCTATTGACTGGTGGAAGTGGAGGCATTGGCAGAGAGATAATGAAAGAGCTTTCTCGCAAGAAAGTACGCGTTGTGATCCTCGACATCAACCGACCGACCTTTGAGCTTCCAGAAAATGTCACATTCTACCAAACAGATATAACGTCGGCCAGATCTCTTTCCGAAACGGGCGCTGCTATGAGAAAGTCACACGGAGAGCCGACTGTTATTGTGAACAATGCTGCTGTGTTCCACCATGGTACCATTCTCGAAATGCCAGAGGAGAAATTGCGTCAGACATTCGATGTCAACATTATCTCCCATTTCCTCATCTTGAAGGAATTTCTTCCGTATATGGTTCGTATGAACCGTGGCCATGTCATTACAGTAGCGAGCGTTGCGAGCTTTGTTACTATCGGTGAGATGGTAGACTATGCTTGTTCAAAAGCTAGCGCTCTTTCTTTCCAGGAGGGACTTCGGCAGGAATTGAAATATTGGTATAAGGCACCGAATGTGCGGACAAGGTTGGTTTAGGAAAGCCCTTAGAAAAAGAAATCATACTGACAATCCCAAGTTCCGTTCACCCCCTTTGGGTTCGGACTCCCATGATCGACGGCTTCACTAGATATGAATCTGATTTCCGTCAACCACTTCTGGATCCAAAGGATGTCTCACGGGCTGTGGTGGAACATATTGTTACTCGGAAAAGTGGGCAAACCATTGTGCCTAGACATGCCTCGGCGGTTGGGTCGCTCAGGGCTTTGCCACTATGGCTGCAAGAGGCAATGCGATCATACTTCTCCAGTATAGTCCTGCGAGTAAGGATCAAGCGTGTTGCTGATGAAAATCATGCCCAGCGTGTTCCTTGATTTAGCATCTTAACTCAATGCAGGTTGTCTTAATTTGAAAGAATTAAATATGAGGCCTAAGATCACTCCTAGCCAGAGCGTCCGAGTATCAGATGATTCAGATCTAAGTGGTATAGAGTATTTTCGAAAATATGGTGTCATGTTAATTCCATGAATTCTATGCTACGAACAGAGCGAACTAGCAAGCACGTAATCTCCCCTTTCCAACTAGGCAGTTCGACTTCTTACCAGTTTGTTCGTTCCCTTCGGCCCCCAGATTTTAGGTGTCAAGGGATTAGATGATAACACGAGCTGCAACGTGGGAGTTCTCATAAGTCCTCTAAGCTTTTAAATTCTCAACTCAGCAGAAATTTAAACCCGAAAATCCGGGCGCTGTCTAAACAATTCCAAAAGAGGCAAAAATAATCTCCTCCCCTCAAACCCAACATCATCAGCCTTCATCTGCTCCTCCCCATAAGCCCGCAACTCATCCCATGAGATCCATTCCCACCCTTCACATTTCTCTGGCTCAAGGATCTACAAGAACAAGTAAGCCACATATCCTCGTTCCTGCAGTATCAAGAGTCACAAATATGGGATTATGCAGTCAAAGGTGCCACAAAAAAGCAAGTTTGCATAAAATAAAGCACAAAAAGCAATTAGCAACTTACCTGAGGATCAACATTCCCCTCACAGACACCACTCATAAAGATGGTAATGTAGTGCTTATTCTCTACTTTCATGATTGAATTCGTAGCAGTCAGGAACCGCAGATCCTGGATCTTTAGACCTGTTTCTTCGAGGGTCTCACGGGCCGCGCATGTCTCGAAGGATTCACCAAACTCGAGGTGTCCGCCTGGTAATCCCCATGTACCTTTAATCAGAAAACTGTAAGCGTTGTTTATAATTGCTTATTGCAAGTGTGTATATGGATGCACATACCCGCGCCAAGACTCCCCTTGCGCTTGCCGATGACGAATTTGCCTGCATCGTTGAAAACGAAGACGCCGAGTCCGACTTTGGGGTCCATTCTATGTTGTACCGGTGACGTGGAGGCTGTTGTAAAGAGAAAAGTTGTCCCACCTGTGCACACTCAAGTATGACTCTACGCTTATCGGGAAGTGGGGATATTATCTCTTGGCTCTTCTAGTCTCCTATGTTCCTGTGCTCTATTTTGCATTGCTTTTGTAGATTCCAAATAATATTATAGAGAATACCGTATATCTTGCTATGGATAATACACTTCGATTATTGTCTACAACATATTCCGTACAGAATATGTGAATGCCTCACGGTAGCGCTAATCACATCAACTAAAGTGTGACCAACACAATCACACCCGAAACGAACCTGATCTACTTCACATACATCGAACATGCTTGTTTCTGTACTTAAATATGCAGGAGCTCAGGGGAACAAAAGAAAAATACTTGCTTAATCCAGTGATATATCCAGCGATCTTCAATCTGAGCTAATTTCTGCACAATCAACATCGAACTATAAGAATCCTTTCACTCAAAAACAAGCATTACAGCCTATCACAGCCACCCCGAGAAATGATACCACAGAACTAGTATCAAAGCTGAGACCCATTTTCAATGATCTTCATAGAAGGAATCATGATCATCATCTAGTTCCCGCTTCTATCGTGTGGCGATGTGATCTATACAAATCCACTCACCTCCTTACTCTCACTACCGTCTTTATATCCCATCTAATATCTCCCAACACGCCACTTCCATATAAATTCCAAACCTTTAATTATCATCATCTCCATCTTTCATCTTCTCTTCCAACCGGCCAACATCACTCTACATAATCTCCAATCTCTTAAACCCTCACAAACCAAAAATGCACTTCAACATCCTCCTCGCCTTGGCAGCTCTGAGCAGCAACGCCGCAGCTCAATCCCCCCTCAGCGCCATCAACATCAATGGCCTTGGCGAACTTGGCCCATCGAGCCAAACTCCAGGCCCATCCAGCACAGCCATCCCGACTCTGAAGAAGCAAGCTACACCAATCGCACCTTCTCAGACACCAAGCTTGTCTACCCCGGTGCCAAGCGATAGTGCTAGCTCTGGCGGATTGAAGGACGGTGGCATTTTGGGTGGTGTTCTTGGTGGTTCTCCTTTCTAAAGGTTTCTTTGAATGGAATGAAGAGGTTAGGGGCAATACGGTATACAAATTGATATTTGAGGTACCGGGGTTCTGTGGTTATATCTTGAAGATGATTGAGAGAGGAAATGGGGGTTATTTGTGTCATTGTGTCTGTGCTTGACTGTTTTCAATTGTGCTGTGACCGTTCTCACAAAGGACACGAGGGAGAGAGGGGGGGATTATACTCACGGGGTTAACGTGCCTTCCTGAAATGCCAATTACCCAATGACCTCAGGCTTGAGTTACCATCGAGGGAAGGAACGATTCTGTGTATACATTAAACAGTCTACACGTCCACGAGCGGACATGTGAACCTTCCTGCTTTCTATGTGAAGTAACAGCCATAGCGAGCTATTTAATATTTTAATTATGAGAGTTTGATTTTCAATCCAGTTCTTTGCGAAAAGAATAGCAAGAAGGAAGCGCCATTCTGATAGTACTTATACACCAAATGAGACTAAGTGCCTAGATCAAAAGCTAGGAATACGGCCTGTTGTGAGGCATAGAACCAAGAACTACAGTATACAGGTCTCAGTTAAAACATAAAATCACCTTAGGACATCCACTCCAGTCTACTGAGTTTGTCCATGGAACCTTGTCTACGACACTCCATTTATCTAGGTGCCCTAGGACTACACATCGGTGAAGATAACCTTACAGTTCAATTCTATCCATGGCCTGGTATCTACGTCGTGGGGGAATCCAAGATATACCTATCTTATAGAGGAGTGTTAGCTTGCGAGAGATTGAAAATTTCTTTCGATACTAGATGAGTGTTGTAATATTTCATATTCGAACGTGCATTGCATTAAAGAATAATATCAGAGATCCACCCTTGCCCTTCATTGCCCTTGCCCTTGCCCAAATCCAAACCGTGAAACAGCAAAGCCCCAAACCCTCCCGAAAATACACCATGAAAGCCAAAAGGAATTATTATACAGGCCAGAAGCAGGCAAAATGCACATGAGGTACACATTGCCTTTGTTCAGATTAGCAAAAAAAAAAAAAAAAAAAAAAAGACTGCAATGCATCAAGAACTTGAATCGCCATTCCAAGCGAGGTTGATGTAGTTTCATGATAAATGAGACTGAGAGGGTCGTCGCTGGCTTTGTAAAGCGCACTCGCCAGAGTCTTGGCTAATGTTGCTTCCCCGATACCAACCCTGATCAATCAGTCGTGTTTCTAGATCTCGCCAGTATCCAGCTTTCCCGCCGGCGCCTGTCTTCAGATCGAGGTCGCCAAGGCGGATTTCAACAGGTGACTTTTCGTCATGGGGGATCTGTTGAGTGGTTAGTATTTGAATATGGACTGTTCCCCAAAAGACAGGACTTGTGTTTACAGCATGACTCACCTTGATAAACATCGTGCAGTCCCGTAGCGTCATCGCAAGCGACATCTCTCGAGACTGCGCGGCCGGGCCATGCAGCCCGACATCCCTTTCAGTCTTCTGTAGTGATTGCAGCCTCTGAAGTGTCGGGTTGCGATACAAGATCCGAGCCAGTCGCGATCGATCCTTGCAGCCCTTGATCAACCCCGTCGCCCGCAGCACATTCTCATACTGTTCCGATACTAGATCTAGCGGACAGAACGATCGCTGCTCTTTCAAGCCTTGGAGTTGCGACTCGCGATTTTTCATCTCTCTCAACGCGCAGGTCCGACATCTATGCGCTGTCGCAGGCGCTGTCGGAGATTGGTTGAGCCACTTGGGTTTTAGCTCGGCGAGGCTAGCGCCAGGATCTCCGGCCGTCGTCATGTCGGTGATGAGGAGGCCGAACGGTTCGTGTAGGCAGAGATAGCAGCCATGGCGCTTCTTTGGACGCGCGCCGTTTAGTTCGGCGGTCCGGAGCTGCTCATTGCAGCTGGAGAGGAGACCCTCTGGGAGTCTGATGAGAGTTTGATCAACTAGTTCTTCGGGGTTGAATAACGGTCGGATGATAGTGTCAAAGTTTCGGACAATCTCTTTATAGGAAATGTCGGCTGGGGTTTCTTTGCGGAGTCGGAGTAATTTTCCCTTGAATCGGGATGGTAGGTTGCAATCTGTGTCGAGTGTAGATGGAGATAGTGGCCTCTTGGGGTCTTTTTTGCAGACTGGATTTCCGACAAATCGATAAATCACATTTGCCCCTCCCTCGGCAAGGTAGACGAGCTGAACTCCCCTCGGGAGTTCAAGTAGATTTGGTTTTGTCATTCGTTAGAGGAATGCGTATTAGGCTTGGGCTCCAAGTTATATTTGTGATCATGACGTGGCTGATAGTAAAGGAATTAGGTCCACAGTATTGAATAGATTCCCGAAAGGATGGGGATGTATGTGAAACAAGCCTCTTCACCAGGTTATGCATATGCATCCAGTGATGAGAGCTTAAACCGATCCAAAGTGCGGGGGCTAAACCGAGTTCAGTTTGGATCTCACAAGTTAGGAATATCCAATCAGTTTCAACGAAAGTAACATGCGGAAGAATCCAAGAGGTCTTTTTAGAAGACTAAAAAAGATTTCGACGGAGATTCCGGACAAAGAAGCCCGGCATTCATTAAAAGAACCCCAAGGACCGAAAAAAAAAGATCAGGGTTTAGTTGTGGGGACCTAAGTGGCGTACCCCCCTTGAGTCGATCATAAGTTGGAGAGTTCAAAAACTTCAAGTTCTTAAAGAAAAAAAAAAAAAGATATGAAAGTTGAAGTCGTATTTATTGTGGCAATGGCGGTCAGCAAAAATATGCCTCGAACTGTAGAGATGCAGTGACACTCTGCAGATGTGAGATAATGAGGAGGCTCGAGGGTTCGGTAAAAAGGAGTAAAATGACCTATGTAAATCTATAAATCTATATATATAATATTAGTATATAGTATACTTTGTATACTTTGTATATAAATATATAAATATATTAATATATGTACTTTTGATCTATAAATCAAATAGGAAGTTTCAGCCCTGCGGATATGGCGTGTGTCACACTGACCACATCCTCACCTCATCTCTCTGATTTTATATATTTCTCTCTCTATTAATCTCCTCCCTTTTCCATTTCACTATATCTCACCATGTCTTCCATCCCAACCCCCGCCCACTGTGTCGCCGACTTTTGTCTGGTCCCTGTAAGTCGAAATGCCTCTGTTCCAATCATCCGAGCTAACAACCCCCAGATTGGCACCTCTTCGCCCTCCGTTGCCAACGAAGTCGCTGACATCCAGCGGCTGATTGAAACATGCGGCTTGAAGTATTCCATGCATTCCGCAGGCACTACCGTCGGTACGTATAGAATACATGTCTTGTAGTATTATAGTATTTTATTATTACCCCTTCTGCGGCTCCGGTCCGATTTGTATCCCACTTGCTCCTCTTATCTCCATGGGCTGTTCTGTTTCTGCGGTTGAAATTGAAATCAATGGGAAAAGAGGAGAGCTGAGAGCTGACAGGGCTATGTTACATTATTTCTATATTTACTGACTATTGCTTTTGTAGAGGGATCTTGGGACCAGGTTCATCAGGTTATCGGACAGGCCCATACCATTCTTCACCAGAAGGGCATTGTTCGGATCCATACTGATATTCGTGTTGGGTCAAGGTGGGTTCTCTTCGAATAATCAATTTCTTAATGCTAATTATCTCCAGGACTGATAAAGTGCAGTCCTTTGAGGACAAGGTGACCAAGGTGCATAAGATACTGGGAAAAGACTAGAAAATTCAACAGTTAATTGACTTTTAAATCATTCCATTCGTAGAAAACTATATCATATAGCCCTTGGGGAAAATGCTGAAACCTGCTACCCTTATCGATGATCCTAATTCTAAACCAAAACGCCTTATCCTTGAATGCAGCCAATATGCACCGCTCAGGGCCAGTCCCATACCGCATGACCCAAGGTATTCAAGGAAAGTAAATACGCTCCCAAAAGATTAAAAGACAAAACAAGACCGAAAACTACTCAGCTCAGAAGGAAATCCCCCCACCAAGCAGATTTCCCCAGTTCCCACCAGTCCAAATCCAGTTCCCCATAGACACCGGGGTTCCGGACCTAGCCGACTCCGCCAGGTCAACCAGCGCCTTGAACACATTACTTGTCGACGAGGCATCGCTAGTCGAATCTGCCGAAGTTGAGACAGATTTGCGGCCAACGGGATTAGTGACATTATTCAAGCTATCGACGGTATCAATGGCTGGACCGCGGTTGAAGAAATCCACCATGATATAGGTCGGTTGTCGCCCATTCCACGCCTTCTTACATTCTGTCGCCGAAGTACCCAGGTTGCCCGTTCCACCGGACGGACCGTTCGTCGTCCCCACATAGCTGGCGTTTGGGTACTCCACGTCTATGATTGCGAGGTTGCTCGAGTACAGGAAGTGGTTCATGAGCGGAAGAAGATTGGCCGCTAGTGCCGACGCGCTGTTGCCTTTGTATGCCGACGGTCGGTCTGGCAAACATGAGAAGTTTGACGCGGAGCTTACGTCGTATGGATTCTCCCAGATGTAGCTCCATTCATCCATTAGGTAGGGGTAACTGGCGCTGATCTCTAGCGAAGCCACAAACACGACAAGTCGCTTGCCATCGTCGATCATGGTTTGTAGGGTTGGCCATGTGGTTGGGGCGGTGCCTGGAGAGGTTGGCTTGTAGGCGTAGTCGGTGATGTTGGCTGTTGTGAATTCTGTGTTGAGATCGGAGGCTGTGGCGTCGTCAGAGTTGACTAGGAGGATTGTGACCACTAATTTGAACGGACTGTTAGTTCTTCTCTTCATGCATCGCGAAAACTAAACTCACCCTCGTTTGGATTATCATCCAGCCAGGTCTTAATCTTCTTCAGCCAGTCGCTCAGCAATCCCGCATCGAGCAGGTCGCAGGTAGAATGACATAGACGCCATTGTGAGTTGCTCTTGTGGACTTGGGCTGTTACTAATCGAACACCGGCTGATAGTTGCGTTGGAGTGTCGTAGTACCTGGAGAATCGGGGTTAGCCTGCCATGTGATTGGGAATTTGGAGGTAAACATACTGATTGGCGGCTATCGAGTTACCAGTACTGGAATCGCGTACAAATGGACTATCATGGGCACCGAGATGTGTGATTTCTCCATAGGACTTAGAGCATAGATCAGGAGAGTTGTTGCATGCTGTCGTACGCTTCTGAATCAAAGGGTTCGCAAGGACCATGGGCAACAATGCCAGGAAGTTGAATACTCGCATAACTGTACACAAATGATGTATGAAATGTAACAATATAGTCTGTAGGAATTATATATGATTGTTGTATAAGTTAAATAAAAAAAATTAAAGGAGATAGAAATAGAATGTTTACAAGGCCGCGTTGCCCTCTCAACTATTCTTAGATCGGTGGATCGACAACTGCACTGCCATTGGGCCATTTACCTGTAACATAGCCCAGTCTTTTTAGGCATATGATTTATATGAACTTTTATTGATCCTTGGCGATCGTTTCAAAGCTTACGTGTACTCTGATTCTATATGGGTATTATGATCAATTATTTTTACTAATATACATGTAGACATCATAGTCCTTTAAGTGACAAACGAATGCCTGGGGCGCGTCGCTTCGTTCTGCTCGCCCGTGGCGGATTCACCAGCTGCTCCAAATTTTGTTCCATCCCATCAAAGAGAGATGGATCGCCCCAGGCCTGGAACACATCATTCAACACTTGCTGCAAAGAATATGGGTTCCGCCGCCGCAGCATGCGGTTCATGCGCCGTGCTGACAGCACATGGTGGCTATAGAGCATAGCCAGCCGGTGGCGGACTGCCTGTGAGATCAATCGTTTGTCAAGACGAAGACCGGATTGCTCCAACTCTCGAAGTAGAATCAAGCCCCGTACCCACGGAATGAGCTTTTTGTCCGTTTTGGAGTTAGGTGGGGCAATACCGAATTTCGAGGCTGTAGTGTCCAGTACTCGGAACGTGAAACCCCAGGAGACGATGGCGGCTTGCATTTGCGGGTTAAAGACCAAATCGAGCATCCGCCGATCGCAACCGTTAGCCTGCTTAGTGGGATCAAGAGATAAATTGGGAGATGGAAAATTCGTCCAAGGCTTCTGCTTAGGGCTGTCGGCATATTGGCGGACCAGCCACTGACAGCAGTCTCGAAGTTTATCCCAGTCCGCCCATGCATCTGCCATGCCGAGACGTTTGAGCATCTCAATCCAAAATGCAGCACTGACATACCCTCCCGCAGGAACCACGCGCTTTAAAATCTTGAAGATGAAGATCACTTCGTCGACGGCAGACAGACGTTGACCCGGCGGTGGGCGATGATTCATTCGCCGAGGGGTGAGGACCTGCTCGGCCATAAAATCCACACTATCTTCGCCTAAAGTCCGGCCACGAAGGGCTAGCTCGTCGGCGACTTTGGACGCCGCACTCAATTCCCAGGCCGCGATATGCTTTCGAAAATGGATGTCGTAGAGGTCTGGTGCCCCCGGGTATAATTCCGTCAACACCGCTAGAGTCATGTTGTACAATCGCCAATCCCGTGCCATGTAGTAAGATACCAGCATTGACTCCTGCATACGCTTGTCTTCGAGAATGTCAGGATGCTGATCGCTGCGAAGGAAGTCGGAGAGAAGGATGTCGCGGTTTTGGGCTGCAAGTTTTTGAACTAAGCGTGAGAAGACAGTGTTTCCTATAGAAATTCCGGACTGCTTAAGTATCTTAAGCTTGTCCAGAAGATCTTGGTTGCCTTGAGCTCTCGTAGCTAGTTCGCGCAACGTCCTGTGGCCGATCTCTGATACACCGAGCATCTTCAACCCACCAACGATCATATCAAAATTGAGAGCACGAGTCGCAAACAGCTTCGCGCCAATGTCATCTTTGAAGGGTTTTTCATCTTGCGACCCCTTCTCCTCAGATTTTGGGGCTGTATGTATTGGGCCAGGTTGATCAATCAAACCTTCGGTGTCGAACCGCTTTTTGACATAGCCACGGAGCCGATTGAACTCCTTACGTAGCCCAAATTTCTCAACATATTCCAGCAACGGTTGTATCTCGTCGGGACTCTGTGGGTGATCTTGACGTCGAGCAAGGAAATGATGCATCGAGATCGCCGCCTCTCCGTGGCCTTGCTGTATGAGCATTGCAATGACAGGGCCATAAAGATTATGGTCGGGAGTGGTGGAGCATATGGCTTGGAATGCCTGCAATCCTGGCGACAAGGAGGACCGCTCGAGATCAGCCACAGTCGCAAATTCCGTGCCAGCCGGAAGAGACGAAGAACGGATCGCTGAGGGAAGGATTTTCAACACGTCATCTGCGCTGGCTAAATGGGAGTTTTGAAGCTTCTTGTGCCATTCGACCGCACGTTTCGTTAAGCCTTGCTCAAGAAGTCCACCCACCACGCGCTCATACAGCTGCGGCCATCGGTTGCCTTGTTGCTCCTGTATAATAACAGCATAGTCAAGAACCTCTTTAAGAAAAAGCTCTCGCCTCAATCCCATGTCCACAAAGCTCTGCCAAAAGAAGTCCGCTTGCTCTCCTGCAACGGGGAGCCATACACCGTCCACCCGGACCCTTAACCCTTCCCATATGTCTAGTGTGCCATTGTCTCCATAGTGACGCTGACGGTATCGAAGAAGCTCCTCCCACAGATCGAAATTATTTCGATGCTCCGGGTGGTCCACTAATCGCGTTCCAATATTGTTGAGGTGTCCAACATCCGATTCGAAGTCAAGCTTGTCCGGTCGGAGAGACAAAAGTTTGGTAGGGCATTGTATCGTACTATCGTGCTTTTTATTATCCACCACAGGCGTGGGCTCAGGAGAATTTGGTTCGTTCGAGGCCTCAATGTCGTAGATGGGAAAGCTAAATGGCCGTTTCCCTCGGCATGGATTTTCAAGCTGAGGCCGGGTCGGGTTATTTTCGGATGCTTCGAGTGGTTCTTGTTTGGCGGTTCGCGAATGACATCGTAGACACCTGTATCTGGACTCCAATTGCTCAATTCCGACCGGTGTTGATGTGAGTGTGTCAAGGATCGAGACGGCAGACGGCCTCTTCAACAGTCGCAGAAGCGCCGGGCGCATGAGTGGTTAAGAAAATAAGGTCGGGAAAGCAAATTCTCGACGTCAAACATCCTTCTTCAAGCACCCGACGTCAATCCAAAATCTTCGCTGGCGAGTAGTCAAAAGTTGATACGCGGCTGGGTACTTTTCTGGCGCTTTTCCCTTTTGGGATGATGACCAGATACAACGTCTGATTCGATCAGGTGATGTTCGGCACGTGACACGATATCCAGCTCATTCCGGACCAACTTCACATCCCCATCTTGCCCACGTCGTACCCAACATCCCCGCTCCTTCCTCGCTTCCAACCGCGAAAATGTTCCGCGCTACTAGCTCCCGCATGGCTGGGTACGTCCTCCCTTCGAATCGCTGCATAAAACCCCCGCGCACAAACCCTATCTTGAGAGTGCGACCATCGAATTTCCTCCCGCGACCTTCAGGGTCCAATTGCGATTGATATGGCTGCGGGGACCTGCTATCCCGCCATACTATTGCAATTTATACTGACTGACTGGCTCTGTTTAGCTTCGTGTTCCGTGAGAACCGTGTGCCCTACTACCAGCGTCTCTTCCAGAACCACGATGGCAAGCGCCAATGGTGGAAGGTCAGTACATGCCGGAAGGGGCACATATGCCTTCAATTGAGCTTTAAATAATCTGAAACTAACATTGGAATTGTCTTGCAGACCTCCCGCTCCGGTTACATCATGTACCCCTACCTCATCTCGGTCTACGGCCTCGGTGCTGGTGAGTGGGCCCATCTTCCAATACAAGATCCGGTCGAGCATACCAAACTAATTGATCATAGCTACCACCTACGCCATGTGCCGCATGGTTCTCGTCAGTTTCACCCAACCCGCTGCATCTCATGCCCCGACGAGAAGCACAGGTAACCGGTTCAATACGTTCACATGCTGACTTCTTTACAGGGCCACAAGACTTGGATCTAAATTATAGGTCCCAGGACTTAGTCTACAGAGATAAATGGTGCCATTTTCAGTTCCGTTGGTTATTCAAGCTGCGGCATCAGTTGTTTTTTGTATGGGTGTATTTCTACTCCAGGAAGGGGGTTAGATGGGTTGGCAGCCACGCAGATTTGGACCTGTACATATGATCAATTCATGCGCCAATCCAAGAGATGCTGCCATATATCGCTTCCCTGGTTTCACAGGAGTACTCGTTCGTACGCTCCGCCCCAAGTTGGGTGTGTACTTTCTTTCGTAGAATAGAGGTAGTTGTGCTACGACCCGAAACAAGCCGAGGCCTGGTTATTTTAGCTCTTATTGGATATGACAAGCATCCAATCGGCGGTGACAATACTGTCTACGCATTAAATACACTACATGTGTGGCAGTGGGGAGATCAGGCATCTTATCCGATGAACCTTGGAAGGTCAAAATGGATGACGCATGACTTCCCCGGGCTATTCCAAGGTTAGACAGACATACATAGGAAACCGACAATCTTCTTGTATAGAACGTTGTACGCCTACTTTACCTTTGTCATAGCCACTTACATAGTGCCTACATCCGATTGTTTGATACTTCTGTGGCAAGCTTTAGGAACTCTCTTGGAATGTCTCAATTATTCATCATCGCAATCAACACCGTCTTGGGAAAGTGCATATTTTCAGCTTCAAGTGTGTGCCTTCGGTTGAATATATAGAGCATGTTAAAACAATTTTTTGGAAATTGCGTGCTTGTGAGAAACAGGTCATAGAGGTTGTGTAATGAGTAAAATATATATTTTGACAGACATTGTTAAAACCACGTGATTCGGACCATACAAGGTCATTAAGCTCTATACAGGAAATATGTGCAACCAGCAGCAAGAAAAGGTCATAGTAGATATGGTTAGAGGCAGACGTGAACATGCCGACGACGGTGGGCATGACGGTGGGCATCGCAGCGGGCTATGGGCAGGTCGGCACTTGATTACTCAGCTGTTTCACAGCACTAGCCAACCTTGGAAGTTCAGTTACTTCTGTCTTCAGGTAATACACAACGGCTTTGCTTGTTCAGATCCGTATATCCATTGAAGTGTGGACATGCGCTGAAAATATCTATATATCGATATACTATGTGAATTGGGGTCCTAAAATACCCGATACATGCTCCTAGGATGATCGTCCTCATTGAGAGCCACTCGTCCTGATATTGAATATTGCGAATATAACAATGGAAGACGAAAGCTTCACCTATTCGGAGAGACCCGCCAAGCGGGTTCGTCAGGCCTGTGAGCCTTGCAGGTACCACACCCATTGAATTGTTTGAAAAATATGACCGGTAACCAATTTTACAGGCGTAAGAAAGCCAAATGCCCCGGAGAGCAGCCTGTCTGTTCTTTGTGTGCCAGGCTACGGCAACAATGTTTATACGCCGATGAAAGACGTCGGCCACCTCCAGAGTCGAGTCCAAGGCTCAATGATTCAGAACCCCGAACATCTCATGTTCTGGTGAGTGTTCTTTTCCATGAGAGCAAACTCCACTGGATTTTGTCCAAATACTGATTCCATCATAGGAAGATAGATTGCGAAGCCTTGAGAGCAAAGTGGGAGAGGTTCTGAATGTACTGGGGTAAGAACATACAGGATCCCTGTTTACACAGTTACTTACTCTTAGAAACATGCTGCAGCTCGAGGAGTGAGCCACAAATACCCACGGAATCTCATATTCCGTCTGCGACATTATCAATGCCAAGCTCATCTGTTACTCTACCGCCGTGGGAAGAGATCATTTCCATTGCGGAAGTATATTTGCTATACTGTGATTCTCAGCCTCTGCCTCTTTTCCACAGGGATAGCTTTCTCTCCAGTCTACAAACACGCGAGGCCGAGCTTCTTTTTGCTATATTGGCACTTGCCTTTCGCTTCTCATATGCCCACCATAACAGGGCTGATTTAACTAGTGTGGTTAATGGATATGCCGAGGTTGCCCGGGGCCTCGTTATGAAAAGGGTCTCAGAAGGGCCAGTGGAGCTTTCGACGCTTCAATGTCTCTGTATTTTGAGCTTGGTTGACTTCACAAGTACGGGCCCATGGTTTTCAATCCCTGGATTTGGGCTAATAGTATCCACCAGATGGCAACACGCATCGTTCCAGCATCCACAGCAGCTTAGCAATGAACCTTGCACAATGTGCCAATCTTGGACAGGAGTCACGTTCAGCAACCAGCATCATAGTCCGCGAAGAACGCAGACGCTGCTTCTGGAGTATATGTCTTCTCAAACGACTACATGGCGGCGACTTCCCGATCCCGGACATACCTCAAGCCGGAGGCCCTCCATATCCCCGAAGCCCGGCACGACCAGCACACTTCCTCTCCCCAGAGCCATCAACTCTCGAAACACGACGAAGTGACATCCAGGACGAAGGAATCATTGCATATGTGATAATGCTCAGCGAAGTGTTTGCAAGGACAGCACGATATGTTCGACTTCATGGACGCCCAAGCAATGTCCCACCATGGTCTCCCCATTCCGAATACTCGAAAATTCTCGCTTTGCAAATGGATCTCGAGACACGCATGCCATATATTCACCGATTCAAGCCAGCGAACCTCAGTGAACGGTCTCTCGAGGAATTACAGACACATCGTGAATACTGGGGCCCGTGGTTTCTGAATCAATTCTTGTATCACACCAGCCTGTGTTTACTGAATCATCCACTGCTTCTCTCGCTCAGCCTTCGGAATTTCCGGAGTACTATCCCGGAGATTTTTTTACAGCACACCTCGGACTTGATTTCCTCGCATACAACCTGGATCATTCACTTCATCAATTGCTTTGAAGAGAAGGCATTCATAGTATCAGATCCGTTGCTAGGCTACAGCGCCGCTGTTGTCGCTACAATCGAGCTGCAACTCAGTTTCACAGATGACTTGACTATCAGAGAACATAAGCGTGAAAGATTCGCCAAGTGTGTCAAGTTTGTGCAAGCCATAGGAGAAAGGTGGCCACACATGGCTCGACTGGTATGGACATCGACCCTGTCTGAGTCTTTTTGGGTTAAAACCACAATCTAACAATCCATCCGTTATATCGGCAGGCACAAAGATTGCAGCGGCTAGAGGACGCAGTCTCGGCAACCTACCAATCAGATCCAGGCGCGCAAAACCAAAGCCTCTTAATTGACCTATCACGATTCTGGGAAATCCTCGAATACTCATCCAACAGCGATACAGACTCTGCTCGGCGTCTATTCGGGGATTCGCTCTATGCTGGTTCATCTTCTGCTGGCGCAGAAGTATCGCAGACATCACCCTTGCCTGCGCCGTTCCGGCTGAATGTCCAGGGGGAAGATACACCAAATCCTCGGTCTCAACCACTCGATACAAATCCCGCCTTTCCTAATCAAAACTATCCAGCAAACTCTTTGCTCTCACCGCATCATTTGACGCTGTCTAATGATGAGTTCTCTATTCTTGCTGCCAATTTCTTTTCTCAGGGGCAAGAGTTCCTACGCAGTGGTGATAACTGGGAAAGTGTTGGCAACTTCTAAGGGCTTGCAACTACATCCCTGAACTCTTGTGTATCTTTATCTTGTCTTCAATACTGGAATTGGGTAGCTTGAAAGGTCCGCCCGTATTATTCATTGTGCATTGTTCATTGCGCTATCACACTATCATACTCGACATTCTGTCCACATTTGTCTCATCTTATTAACCAACTACGAATCGGCCAAAGCGCCCTTGAATTCCTTGACGAAGTTGAACACCTCGGAGAAAGTGTTATACAACGGCACTGGAGCTACACGAACAACGCCCGGCTCCCGCTTGTCACAAATGATACCAGCATTCTGTAGGCGTTCTGATACCTTGTGTAGCAAGCCAGGCTTGAGCAAAACACTCAGTTGAGCACCTCGAGCATTGGGGTCTGAAGGAGTGATAATATCAAACAGACGAGTCTGCTCATCGGTATCCTTCAGAAGCAAGAACTCCAGATACGCCGTCAGCTTCAATGACTTTTGGCGTAAATCGGCCATGGAGGTTTGATCAAAGACGGACAAAGCTGCACAAAGACAGGTCAGATCAATGACTGAGGGGTTGGATAACTGGAACCCTCCAGCTCCGGGAATAGGCTTGAATTCTGCTGGTCGTTAGCATATGCCAGAACATCGCGTCACATGAATATGAAGAAACTAACTATTATCCATCTTGAACCTCACTGACCGGTCACCGCCATACCATCCTGTCAAACGGTGACGGAACTGGGGAGCATCTGGCCCAGCGCTATAATCGACCTGACCATGTCTCTCGTGCACGAAAAGACCACCCATCGCGCCAGGCCCGGCATTGCCGTACTTGTACGTGCACCAAGCTGCGAAGTCGACGTTCCAGTCATGCATCTTCAACTCCACATTTCCATATGCGTGTGCTAGATCCCATCCAACGACGAGGTTCTTTGACTGAGCGTACTTGGTAATTGTGGGGATGTCAAATAGCTGTCCGGTGTAATATTGGATACCAGGGAGAAGAAGAAGCGCTGCGGTTTCAGCATGCTCGTCGATATAGGACATAATTTTCTCTGTTGAGATCTCGTATTGTCCCTCATCTGGGCCAATGAGAATCATGTTTTCATCCGAATCTAGGTCATGCCAGGCAATGTGTGATTCAATTGCATACTATGAGCGTATTAGTGGTGGGCAATCGAGACAGCAGATTATCACTCACATGATCACTAGGGAATGCCTTCCAATCCATGAGAATCTTCCGCTTAGTCTCCGTTGGCTTGTAGAAGCTTGCAAGCAACAGGTGAAGGTTCATAGTCAAGGTTCCCATAGCTGCGACCTCTTCAGGCGCGGCCCCGACAATGCGGGACATTGAAGCAGCCGCTTGCTCGGATAGTAGCTGCCATTGTTTCAATGGTGAGTCTTCAAGGTCAGTAAAGTGTCCGCAGACACCGATGGAAGACCAAGTATCCAACTGAGCCTCCATATACTTTGACACAGCCTTGGGCTGGATACCCAATGAGTTACCGCAAAAGTATGTGCTTGGCTCTGACGAGAGACCTGTATGGGCTTATTAGAAATAACTAGACTATATCATGCGTTTACACGAAGATGTTCTCACCTGGCTTCGCTAGCTTCTTCGTCGCGAGATTCGCCTTGGAGGGAATGATAAATTGATCACGGAATTCACGCAGAGGATCAGCTGCATCAAGAGATGCGGCATAATCCTCTGATGCTGCCTCTGCAGGGAAGACTGGCTTAGACACTTTGGTGATCGTCATATTGATGCTGTTCATGAAATATGTTATAGTGTAAACCAACTTGAAGTGAGGGTGTACAAGGAGAATAATGACTTCTCGGAAATAGGTTATTGCTTTTTATAAAGCCAAACCGGAGACTAGACAAAGGCTACTATGGGGTAACACGGATGAAGTTCCGCTTCCGTCTCCCCGATCCGTGTCTACTATTTGACATATTACATCATAAAAGATTTTTGTTCTACATAAAAAAATTGCCTTCTCATAGGTTTATACATACTTTATTACATGCATAATGAAGCAGATGGCCTACCATATCACAGAAAAGCAATTGGAGCCTCTGATTGGAAATAAGACCAAAGATTTGTTTCATGTCAAGTCTCAATCGCAACGTCAAACATTGACACTCGTTTCCTCATTCCAAGGTTGACCTCGGGAATTGAGTAACACTAAGCTTATCTAGGTTATTGTGCCACTGGAGAGGCGGAAGACGGAGATAGATCCGGATAGATTCCGGATTGTATAGATTCTTTGACTAAATGGCCCCGATACAAACCGATGTAGGAAGATATTGAAATAATGAGGCTTTAAAGTTCTAAAATTGGTCTCGCATCATAAACGTAAAAGGCAACCGTTCCCCTTTGTTCTTGTTTACATACACGCCAGACCGTTCTTCTTTCCTCACTCCTACACATATCATCATCCACACAATGTTGCAATCAACAGATGCTATTTTCAATGATCTTTTCGGAAGTTATGCCGAGCAAGGCTTTCTCCCAGATCGTCTTCCATTGGCCAGACTCCCAAATCCCTATTACAAGACTTGGGAGGACATAGCCAGCCAACTCCCCAGCCTCATCCAATCGAGCCAGATCCGCGACAGAATTGATAATATGCCCGTCTGCACGACTGAACATCTTCAAACAGAAGCAGAATGGCGACGGGCTTGTGTCATTATGGGATATTTCACTCATGCGTATATCTGGGGAGGAGAGATCCCCAAAGACGTAAACATCCACCACCCTTCCCTTTCCCATCAACGATTCCCTGACATCCAGAACCACAGAGACTTCCCCCATCAATCTCAAAGCCCTTCCTTGAAATATCAGCACACCTCCAACTCCCTGCCTGCGCCACCTATGCTGGCCTGACACTATGGAACTTCCTACCTTCCAGCCCAGGAGCAGACATCACAGACCCAGACAACCTCCATGTTCAGACCTCCTTCACCGGCACAAAAGACGAGGAATGGTTCATGGTCATCTCCGTCGCTGTTGAAGCCAAAGGCATCAAACTCCTCGCCCTAATGCGGGATGCCTTTAAGGCAGTTGTTGCCATCGACGTGGAATTACTCACTGCACTCTTGTACAGATTTGCTGACGGTTTATCCGACCTCACAATGACTCTGAAAAGAATGTACGAGCACAACGAACCGGATGTCTTCTACCACCAGCTTCGGCCGTTCCTGGCTGGTAGCAAGAATATGGGTCATGCTGGTCTTCCCAATGGTGTGTTTTATGATGTTGGTGACGAAGTGGAAAGACCAGAGAACTGGCTCCAGTTGAGTGGTGGGAGTAATGCACAAAGCTCGCTCATCCAGGCACTTGATATCTTCCTTGGCATTAAACACTCTGCGACGGATGGGAAGCAGTCTGGTGGTCCTAGTTTTATTCAGGTATGAACATCGTGGGATATTAGTCTTTAGTTTCTCTATCCTTAGACATATGTTAACACCAAAGACAGCAAATGCGAGACTACATGCCTGGTCCGCATAGACGCTTCCTCGAAGAACTGTCTGTTCGATCTAATGTTCGTCCATTTGTACTGGACTCGTCGGTTCAATCGCTCAAGGATGCATACAACGCAGCTGTGAAGGAGCTCAAGGGTTTCCGCGATGCACACATTCAGATGGTCACTCGATACATTGTCATGGCGTCGAGAAAGCCCAATCCAGTTGAACAAGCGAAGGGCAGAATTAATCTAGCCACGGCTAGCTCTCAAACGGAGGAAACAGGTGCGAAGACTAAGCTTGCTGGTACCGGTGGCACGGACTTGATCCCCTTCCTGAAAAAGACCAGAGATACGGTTCAAGATGCGAAGTGCTAAGCGCTCACATGTACGTGCGATGACTTAACGAAACTTGTGTGATATAGAGTTGTCTGTTGTATTGTAAATTGATATTGCTTGCCACCAGTGCTATGGTTCAAAATAACCTTGCTGAACAAAGAAACATATCAAGAGATCAGGAGGTAAGTACATCAAGAGAGATAGGACTGCACCATTGTGGGATTTCCCCATTCCCAGGTAAGTGGCTCACCCTCAAGTTAACCTAGCTGCAAACTTGGTATGAATATCCTTGAATGGAATCCCTGCTGCATCCCCAGGATCTCGCATAGCATGGTCTGCAATTATCCACCTCGGGGGTAACAAGAAGTAGGTCCACATGTGAGTCCTAGACAGAAATGTGCGATGACACAGACATTTAAGCCTGTTGGTTGTAGCTGGCATATAGCGCAATAGCCGTGATGAATTGGGTGGAAACAGACAAGTTGGGTCTTGTGGCCAGGCTATTACGAGAGGCGTAAAAACACCAACCTCGAACTGTTTAGCGCAGTAGAGCCACTCAACAAGGCCCTAGCACTGAGAAACCTTTGGGCAGGGGGGATGAGGGTTGTTGGTCAGGCATATTCTGACAGGGTGCTCAAAAGTCAACCGCATGGGGGCGATGGCCTGGGCTCTTGGCTTAAGAAACTCGTGCGACGCAATCACCGCTTCTTCGTGTTGGTGGGCACACCCTCACTCTCTCGCAGCTCGGCCAGATACTTCTCCCTCTCGATCAGGCGCTCCTTCTCTTCCTTGATCATCTGCTCAACTGTCTGAGTGGCCTCGGCCATGCGGTCAAGCTCTTTCCTCTCGGTCATCCGACTGTATGGGTTCCCGGGAGCATCACTCATGGGAATATCCGCCGTCCTGCTCTGTCCAATCTGCTTAGTATTCTTTCCCTTGCTCTTGCCAGTCTGACCACCAGCAGAGCCTCCGGTGAGGATCTCGTAGAACTGCTCAACGGGCTCATTGAAGATGATCTCTTCGTAATTCTGGCTGATCACGGTTTCCCGACGTTCTTTCATTCCCTCCGCATCTGGGCCGTAAGGATGTAGCTTCAGACTATGCCACAGAGTCTGGGGCTTCTCGTTTGATTCGGGCACAAAGTACAGCTTGATCTGAATTTCGAATTCACCCCAGCCAGTTTCGGAAACTTCAAAGGGCGGCTGCTCGATCGAGCGGACATTGTGGGCGTATGTCTCATGAAGCTTGAATTGAACTTTCTTTAGCCAGTAGGAGATATCCTCGCCGTTGATTCCCTTGACGAATATCTCCCACCTGTGGGTGTGGTCTGGAGGACAGTTCGGCGGCTTATTATCGGGATCGAAGGGATGCGCAATGCTGCCAAATACTGTGTTTATTAGGGACTGTTGGCGGTAATGCACCCTTTGCGAACATACCGAATGGTCGGAATACCGAGACACCCTATGAGCGCATTAGTTTGATTTCAATATTTCCCCATATTTGAAGCTTACCCTGACACGCTTATTTCCTGTTGCAGATGGCATCTTGTAAGTTGTAGATTGTTGAAGATGGAAACGGATTGTCCAGAACAAGGGCGCAAGAAAGTGGAAGAATGATAATCCGTCGGGGCTCAAGTGGTCCGACAAGAAGGCAAACGATACCGAATGACGCTAACTTCAAAGTCCTGCAAGAGGCAATTACTTCTATTTAACTCTTCTTATTATTGATGAGTTTGATATTGGCTTTCTCAACCCAGTTCTAAAGTCTCAATTGCTACATAGCCTGGACTTGTTCCGATACTTTGGTGATATCATTATCCCGAGCTATCCCAAAGCTACAATTACAGCATGCAGACAAAAAGATTAGTTGTTGCCGGAGGAAGCGGTTTTTTGGGTTTGTGATACACATGCGCAAAATCTAATATTATTTTACTGACTAGTTCTTCCAGGATCCAGAATCTGTAAAGCTGCAACAGCAAGGGGATGGACAGTTACATCATTAAGGTAGCTAGCATGCCTATGTATGGATCCACGCAGCATACTGATCTCAGTCTAGTCGATCTGGTGAGCCCCGGTGGGAGACAGTGACCGATTCTCGGGAACGACCCAGCTGGGCAGGCTCTGTGGAATGGGCTAAGGCCGATATCCTCAAGCCTGAGAGCTACAAGCCGCATTTGAATGGTGCTTCTGCTGTTGTCCACACAATGGGCATTTTATTGGAAGCCGACTACAAGGGCGTTGTGCAAGGAAGAGAGCCAATCTTAAGTGGCCTTCAACGAGCTTTTAGTACATCTAAGCTTGGAAGCCAGAACCCTCTGACAAGACGAGAGGGTGAGGCTTTGGAGCCAAAGGAGAGAGATGGACAGCTGACCTATGAATTGATGAATCGAGATTCAGGTGCGTACAAGAGTTCTAGAGTCTGTTTCGAAAGCTGACACGTGTGTGATTTAGCAATTGCACTAGCTCAAGAGTCCATCAATGAACATGTCCCAGCCTTCGTTTATATCTCTGCAGCGGCCGGGGCTCCGCTTCTGCCATCCAGGTACATCAGTACTAAAAGGGAAGCAGAGGCAACTATCACATCCACCCTCCCGAACCTAAGAAGCATCTTCATACGCCCGGGCTTCATGTACGACTCGAGTCGGAAGTTCACGCTGCCAATTGCAATGGGTGGCTTTGTCGCCTCGGAGTTCAACACATTCCTCGGGAATAAGCTTGGGTTCCTTGGAGCTATGGCCGAAAAGCCCCTCAAAGTCGATGTTGTGAGCGAAGCAGTAGTCGAAGCATTGGAGGATGAGTCCACCAAAGGCGCAGTCGGAACAAAACAGATTGAGGCACTTGCAACAAAAGCCTGGCGAAAGACGATGCTTTAGGTGTGCAGGCTGATCAAGTGACTTGTATGTTTGTGTATAACAATGTTTTTTTTAGCAGATAAAACACATGGAATCTCTGCTGTTTGATTCATGCCTTGTCCAAGTACAGCTCGGAACTTCCGCTATGTAAAATATTGCAATCAATTTCACATTCAAATTAGATCATGGTGCCACGTTCGAAGCTGTCCCGAATTTCGGTGGTGTACTAGAAAACTGTTAGTGAAACGATCAAACAAAAATAGAGCAAGGGAACACTGACCTTGTTGTAGAAGCGAGCGAGTTTCTGGTTGAACTGTCTGTTCTTCTCGTTGATGTATGTCACATCCGCATCATCATCGCCACCACGGCGCTCCTTGCGTTTCTTTAGGCGCACCTCCTCGGCCTTCTGGATATCGCTAACCAGTCTGTCGACAGCAGCCCGATCCGGTTTGCTTTCCGTAAAGCCAGTCGAGTCTGCAGTGGAATAGAAGCTACCGTTCTTATCGATTGCAATCATTTCACCATCCTCTGTCTCCACAATCTCAAGATCGCCGTTGGCCGCGGCTCTCTCGATCGCAGCAATCTTGTCTTTCTCGTAGGATTCCATGTTCGGTGCCATTTGCCTCAACTGTCGCTTGTAAATCTTCCGGGCATCTTGAGTGTAGTCCTGGAAAGCAACGTCATCTCGGTGACGTTGTTTCTTCTCCATGCGCCTATCCCACTTCTCCGATTCGTCGACTGTCCAGTCCCATGCGCGCTTGCGTTCAAAGTCTTCTCCGTTGGCTTCCGTGTCCGCTTTGAGGAGGTTGTGGGAGGCGAATGCATGCTTGCGAGATAACGTATTTAGCAAGGTGGGATCGGTGGTTAGACGCTGGGATTCGGCTGCAGTCTCTTTCAAGTTGCGCTCTGTTGCAGATTTCTATACATTATGTTAGTTATGTGAGGGGATTGGACTGGCCAAGTCTACTGCGCGAGTCATCTTTGAAGGGCCACTTACAGCTCGAGCCTGCAAAGCTTTGAACCTATTCATTCTGTCACGTGCTTTGGATGCAGCGTCATCCTTCGTGTCATCTGGTTGAGTTTCGGCTTTACTTTCAGAAGTTGCGACAGGCGATTCGCTTATGTTCTCGGTCGGTTGCTCAGTGGACTGTTCTTGGCTCGCCTCGTCCTTTGCGGCTTTATCCGCATTTCTGGTTCGAACCATAATTTCCTCGGATTTCTCAATAGATCGATAGCAGTTATGGAGAGAAAGTATTAGCTGTTTTGTTGGCAGCTGGGTTGATAAGAAAGGGAATCTGATTGAAGATGAAATAAAAGCGCGAATGCGGTCCAATACCGCCTTCCCCACCGCCTGCACTGCCTTGGTTCTGCTGGTCAAACCCCAGACTTGACCCCCTTATCGGCCCACGTTTATCTTCTCCACATCTCAGATCAGCTTTACTCTAGTCCACAGGTTCCAAGACATGGGACGACCGCACACTCAGTTGCTTCTGCTGCAACCAAAGCGACGGTTTACAACTGGAAATGTGCTTACACAGCAATCGGTGCTCAGCGTCTATCCCGCAAAAACGAAATTACTACGTCGTGGCCCATCACCATCTGAACTGCTTCGATTTGTCTTGAGGGACTCGACTACGCCAATTCATGACTCGAACACAAACGAGATCTTATCTGGGTATCTCCGTGAACTCTTTGTCCCCCAATGGAAGCTTAACTCTCCACCTCCCCCGTTGTGGACCTCCCTCAAAGGGCTTACCTCGCACAATCAAAAGCTGTCGGTGGATGTCAATAGTGAGATTGTCGATATCTCATCCTTGCGGAGTTTTATTGAGAGATATGTCAACGACAGATATGGAGCGGAGCTTTTGCAGGACCGTAATTGCTTGCCACTAAATCTCACTTTGAAAAGCTGTCAACAGAGTAATACATTGGCAGAAATTCTGTCGGTGCTAAGTGACTTGCTTGCAAGACTGAAGCGTCTCCAGCTTCCTATCCAACCTGAGATGTACTCTATAGCGTTGTATTTTGCATCTTCTGATATTTCGGCTTCATATATGAAGCACTTCTTGGATGGCCGCCACCACATGGGCTTTCCAGCCCTAGATCTCGTGGATAGTTTGCGAATAGTCCAGAATTGCTCCAAGGCACTTGACTGTGAAGCTTTTGAGGATCCATACCATGACCTAAATCCCATCCTTTCAGCGATTACAGGAGAAGGAGAACGCGTGCCCCACAAACACAATTTGCATGATATCTTGTTCTGGACGCAACCAGCTGGTCAAATTGGTGACCGATTTGATTTCGAAGCCGAGGCCTACATGTGTCTGCTCGCTAGGCTTGGGAGTGATAAGGTGCTTCACAGGTGCTGGTCCCATTTTTTAAAGAACATTCAGCCTAGAAATCAGCAAAGCTGTATTGCTGCCTATCAGGTAGTGCTGGCTCTAGTTCAAAATGCCCAGTCCCAGACAGCAGTGAGGTGGTTGGAAGATATTTCTCAACATTGTGGTGACAACTTGCCATTCATTGCGAGGTTTCCGAATCTTCGATTACTCCTTAATGACCCTATTGTGGGCGAGGCACTGCCTGACCTAGTAAGAGGCGAGGACTATGTTAAGCTACTCAAAGTTTGCCTTGATGATATGGATCGAAGGATGGGCGTTCAATGGAGCCCTGAGGGTCAAAGCCATTTCAGTACGGCGTTGGACCCATCAGAATCAATCTGGGAAGCATTCGAGGACCAAACTTTGCCCAAGCCCGATAACAAATCTGTTGGCTCTGACCATGGAGGACAGTTGTACGCAGAGCTTTGCGCTCATGGCTGCTCCAAGTCTCCGGCTGCACTGAGCAGAATCACGGATCTGTTGAATGACCACGATGGACAGCCCCAGGTTGTCACTTGGCTCGATGATAAACCGGAGCGAATTGTTGAACTTCGCTCTAAGTTCGAATTGCTCGAGTTCCGATGGGTACCATCACACTCACCGATAGAATTTTCTAACTCCCAAATTCCGGCGCTGCGTGATTTCTCTAACCCTATGACCCCGTCTACCCTAGGCCTTATTCGGGCTCGTTTGATCGTTCATGGAGTTCCTCAAATGGGGACTAACAACTTACACTTGATGCAAGTCGGCTGCATGGATATGCGATATGGTCCGGATCAACCATGGCAGCCATCAGGATATATTGTGGTCTGGGACCGCCATTTTGGGCGACTCCTCGGGCTTTATGTTGGGCAGAACAATGGGGTTATTGACTGTGGACCAGCACCTTCCGATGGCCCTCTCGGTGCCTTGATGCATCTCACAGTTTTACCCAATCCTGAGGAGCAAACATTTTATCCCAGTGGCATATGCCCTGATTCTCAAAACTGCTGTGGACCTTACTATCTGGATGTCGATCCAAGTGATGACCTTGAGTATTGAATGGTCTCTCTGCAGTTGTGTGAAATACCTATGAAATGATGAAATCATGAAAATGACATTGGGGAGAGATGTATCATGGGTGTTGTCCAGCCTAGAGGTGATCTAGAATGAGCGGTGATGGGTTTCGTCAGAATCTAGTCGTAGTCGCTAGTCATATTCTGTCTTTAATGTTACTCTCATATTCTCAATAACTATGCAACTTCATGATATTCAGCTATTTCATCTCGAATCCAACGGAGGATACCCCCACGCCACCTGTTTTGATCGGCACCCAATGGCACCTGACTTGGATCCTGATCCCAGCTCGGTTTGTCTCGGTGTTGGAGATGTCAAGTGACACGTATAAAGATTCGCGTTTTCCACAAGGTAAGAAGTCAAGCCACCCACGCCATTTGAAATTGAGGATCGTCGGTAAGGATGGAGTGGAGTGGTGGGGTAGTGGGGGGCTACCCCATTTGATATCAGATCCTTCGTGGATGTGGCTGATGTCAAATTATCTCTTCCTCCTCTTGTCTGATGAACTGGGATCTGTTGCAGCATGCAGTATGCACCATAACCCCGCAAAGGCCCCCAGGTATTCATATTCTTTACTATGTATTGGGAACTGATCTACGGTCAACGCCACATATCTAGGGCATAATAACCTTGTATTTTCATGGCAATGAGGTCATTGGATCTACACCTTTAAAGTCAAAGGTTCGTGGGATCCAAACCGGACATTTAGCCGAGGCCCCGGGGGTTTGAAGCCCAAGTCCCGCATTTATAGGATTATTAGGCTAATTGTTTGGATAAACCTTGTGCCTTCAAACCCCTTCAAACTCTTCAAACCCTTCAAAACCGGATATAGGCAGAATTTTCGGATCAAGATAAATAGATAACGCTTGGAACGCTTGGACCTTGAAGTTATCTAAGGTTTCCAACGTTGGAAGTTTGTTCGATGGGAAATTTGAAAGGAAAAGTGAAAAAAGCTTAATACTCTCAAAGGTCATCACGGTGAGTCCACAGATCTTTGCAGATCTCGGATTGTCTCCTGAAAAAGGTATCAAGTCTGTCGGAATAAAGCGGAGATCCGAGACAACTGCGGTTCGCAAAAAGGCATAATTCCACTTGTTAGTCCCATTGGCGTTGAAAAAAAAAAAACAGACTCAAAAAAAAAATGATTTCTTTGAATTGCAAAATGGAAGATCTCATGGAAGATCAGAGATATCAGAGATATTCCCTTTAAAGATATCAGAGATATCATATCCCAGATATATCCAGGGAATCCACTCCTTTTCCTGGTAAAAACCCGCTCGGCCCGTTCGGGTCTTCCCTCTGGTGGATCTCTTTCTTTTTTATAAAAAAAAAGAAGTACAATAGTTTTTCAATATCAATTCTCATTCCAACTCTCTGATTGGATAAATTTGAACAGGGATGTTTGAATTTTGCTTGTGGGTTACTTTTTTCCTTCCTGGGCAAAATTGGCGAATCCCCCGCGGAAGTATAGATATTTCATGGGGATTATCAGGTGCCTTATGTGTTTTATATAATTTCAACCTTCGACTTCTAATTCTCTGTCCAATGTCTCTGAAATCAGGCATTTAACACTTCTACATGTCGAGGCCACCACCACAATGTGGAAATACCACAGGGTATATTGATTCGGTCCCCCGCACTCAACACCGCGGCCCGATACCCATGCCATATCCGTACCGACATGAGCCTCGACAGGTTCCCCAGACGGGCTATGAACGCCCCATGCTCGGACCACCCCTTGCTTCGACTCCCTTGGGTCCCGAGAGAGGCACAGATCCCCGATATATGCTATCATCCGATGTCTATATGAATACACAACCGCAAGCTCTACCGCTGCGATATCAGGGAAGCGCTGATGTCTGTAATCCATACGAAGAGAGGATATACCCAACCACCAGCCATGCCCGTGACTATGACAGTCACCGGAGCTGGACATACGACGTGGAGTCCCAGTAAAGTCCCTCTCTTTTCGTTTCTGTCAATTGAACCTCTATCTGTCAGTCCATCCTGATGCGATGTCTTTGGAGATTTGGAACGCAATCCCTCTTAGGTCACGTCTGTGTTAGGTTACACAACGCAGGGAGACATTCGAACAAGACCACATTCTAACCACAAGATCATATAGACACAGCAGCAGTTCCACAGCCATGCCCAGTCCCGTCTGGTCAGATAAGAGCGCTGCTACTCACGCATTCAATCCTACCCTAGCCAACACTCACCAAGACCCCAAACCACAATCCCGAAACGCGAACTACAGAATGCCACACGGCTTCGACAAACTCCTTCACCATGAACCAGAGCTAGAATCACCCCCTTCACCACCCAGACGACCATCCACCCAATCCAGATACCACCTCCACATCCGACAACAGCCCATCGCGGCACGAGCCTGCGGCGCAGGCGACAGAGATCGTCGCCCCGTCGACCCGCCCCCAATCGTGCAGATCCTCCTCACCGATTTCGACTCAACCTCAGAAGAAGACAGAGACCTCCTCCAAGACCCCCGCTTCACAGTAGGCTGTCTACTATTCCCCGTCTCGCCCTCGTTGCCATGGGCTGAACCAGCAGAGACACCCGCGCGCGAACGCGACCAAGATCAAGACCGGGACCGGGACCGGGATCGGAATCGTGATAGAGAAAGAGAAACAGACGGCGTCGCCCGTACAGACGATAACTTCTCAACGCCACTACTAGCCGGCAAAGCATTCATGTCCCCCTTTTACGTCGACGCCGATCCAGACCCAAACTCCGCACCCGCTCATCCATCCTCCATAACCGATCCACATCCCTCCAGCCCCGTCTACAACCACGCCGCCTCGCGTCTCCATCAGCCAGCTACCTTTTTCATCTTTGCGGATCTTTCGATTCGCTCGGCGGGACTATATAGGCTCCAGTTCCGATTGATGAATTGGGGATCCGTTGAGGATACGGGGCAGTCGATGCCGATTCTTGCGGAGGCGTGGTCTGATCCGTTCCGGGTATATCCTGCGAAGGATTTTCCTGGGATGAGGGATTCGTCGATTCTAGCGGAGGGGTTGAAGGAGCTTGGGTTTGTGGAGTTGAAGACGAGGGGGCATGGGAAGGGGAAGGGGAAGAAGAGACGATGATTGGGGTTTATCGTTTTTGCGTGCTTTTCTCTTCTTCTAATGTGTTGATATTATCATTCGAATATCTTGGTGTGGAGTCTGTGAATGGCTGTCTCTCGGGTTTGACATGAGGAAAGGAATTTATTGAAATTATGATTCGGGGATGAAACGGGGAGTTTGATTCTTTTTAATTATAACAGTTTGGATCTTTTGCTTTCTCTGACAGTTCGGGAATATATGGGATATGAACTATATAAATGGTATCAAAGCCCAAAGAAGAAAGAAACATATAAAACATATAGGCAAAAGAAGATGTACATGTAAACAGAACAGCTAACTAATCCTCAAGAGTTTAGGAGGCAGACCAGGGTTGACCGTCCGGTCTTCCCACTTATCCTTCATCTCTAACAAACTCTTCTTCGACAACGAGGTCGGAAGACCCATTTCAGCAGTACGCTTGTACATCTCACGGCTCTTCTCCATATCGCCATCCTCACGGAAGAGCATAGCCAGGATATACCCAGCCTCATTGTTTCCCCTATCAAAAGCAAGCTCGTACCAATCCATCGCAAGCTTGCGGTATGTCTTGTGATCCATGGGTTGGTTGAACACCGTATAAACCCAATTTGATATAGGCTCGAAGGGTCTCGACCAGACGCTACGCGCAGCATTGTCCTCTTCCCTCCTCTTCGAATGCCGCTCTGCTTCGGTTAAAAATTCGCCTTGAGAGGTGCGGTAATAGAAATTGGCAAGGTAAAAGCAGGCTGGAGCATGTCCCGCAAGCGCAGCGCTGGTCACGAACGACTCGTACTCTTCGTATTTGCTGAGACTCTCCGTTTCCAACAATGTAATGGCGTAGTCAGTCATGGCGACTGGGTCGTGGAACTCCACGGCGGCTCGGCGCGTGGCACTCTGGATACCCTCGAGACCTCGTTCCTTCTCAACGGCAGCAGCGTACAGTCGCCAGGGCGAATCGAACCTACCCGCTAACATTATATCCTCCCAGTAGGCAGGGATTGACCGAGTTGGCTGCAGGTATGGTAGAATCTTCTGCTCCAGAAGCCGAGCGGCTTGTTCGTGTTCGCCGCGCCAGATGAGCAGTTTGGCATATAGCATAATCGCATGAGGGTATTCGTCTTTGATGGCCAAGTCTTTGACCCGCGCCATGTACTCGGTATTCCGGTAAATGTCCACATTTTTCGAGTCCATATACCGTGTCATGAGGTCGACCAGGGCTCGGCGCGAATTCGCTTTTGCGCAGCTGGTCAATGCCCATTGAACAATGTATTGGCCATTTTGAATCTCTGCAAGAGTGAGTGCGATTCGATAAACGGCGTCGACATCTGTAACAAAGTGCATTAGTATTGAGATATATAGTATTTGAAACTTAAAACTTACCTACTGATATACTCCGAACAAAACTTGCAGAAGGGAACTGCGAGTGTGATAGCCTAATCAACTGTTCACCCACTGACGCGAACGTCGCCATGTTGACTCCCGGCGGTAGAATGGGAATAAATCGTTCATACAATTGGCGTGTGTATTGCTTAAACTCAGCCAGTGTTGGTTCAACATGGTCGACACAATAACCGTTCCAAAACCCGTCGCGATCCAATTTTGTTCCATTTGGGCCTTCTAACACATTCTCAGGTACAATATTATTCCTCGCTTGTTTTCGAACGGATGGTGCTTTGCGAGAAGGCCTGATAGCTGATCGAGTTTGGGTTGTGTGGAAGGGCCGTTTCGACGTGTTGCTATTGGTGATAGCTCGAGCAGTGCGAGATTGCGCCGGACGCAAGGTGTGGGCTTTCGGAGAGAGAGCTTGTAATTGACGCCATTGTAACGGCAAAATCAATGGTCTTGCCATTACAAAGAGTGGAGGGGAAATGGTGGAGGTGGGTGAGGGAGGTTTTCTTTTGAAGTTCTGGAGATCGGGAACTTTGCCGCGAAGCTGCTCCGACATTTAGATATGCCAACAGCTTGTACAGTAGTTTTAAAAGATATTTATAGATTTTAAAAGTGATAGAACAGCATCGATATGCTAAATGCATCAATTAATCAAACGAGCCCTCTGTACCAGACAGCCCCAGAACACAATGCGTATAATGTACATTTTGCCTTGATTTGCCAGGCCAAACACAATAAATGCTCAACAAGATCTCTCAAAAGCAAGAAAGTAAAGAGAAAGAGAGCGGAAAAGATCACATCTTCCCTCACTCTCTTCTCAATCTATCCCCTCCCCGTGCTTAAATAATAAACAGCTTTTACTCCATAGTCGCCTTGGCACCGAGCGCCTTGAACGTCTCGATGAGCTTCTCTGCCTCCTCCTTGGGCACAGACTCCTTCAGAATCTTGGGTGCGGACTCGACGAACTTCTTGCTGTCCACCAGCGATAGGCCGAGCATGGTCTTGATCTCCTTGATGACCTTGGGCTTGGAGGTAGGCTCGAAAGACTCGAGCTTCAGGTTGAACAGCGTCTTCTCGGCAGCGGCGGGAGCAGCCTCCTCCTCCTCAACGGCAGCAGCCGCACCGGGGGCACCACCGGCGGCCATGGCGAAGCCGCCAACGGGAAGGTCGGGAATGTTCAGGCGAGTCTGTGTGAACGTTTTGATTAGCAAATGTTCGTATAAATACCTCAATTGAGCAGAGCGACGGTTTAGATTGAGTGATATATGCAAGGACGCATTTCCTGTTTGGAAATCCATCAATTATATGTCGAATGTCAAACCCACCTTCAAGCTAGACACGAGGTCGGCAGTCTCGAGCAGAGTCAATGTGCTGATCTGGTCGACAATCTGGGAGATCTTGGGGTTGCTGGAAGCAGCAGGGGCTGCCTGGGTGGATTCGCATCGGCGGCTGCTGGGTGTGCGACGGGCTGTGAGGTATGTAGCGGAGGTCGCGATGCGCAGGGAGGATGGGCGGACGGAGCCGGAGAGCTGTCTGGCGCAGCGGGCTGCAGCCTGGGTGGAGAAGGACATGGTGGAGGTGAGAAAAAGGCGGGAAGCTCCTGAGGAAGGGGAATTGAAGAAAAGTGGTGGGACTGGAATCGCGGCTCGTAGATATCAAGACCGAAAGGAAACATCGAGGAAAATCTGGGAGTGACACGTGATCTATAATGCCTCAGGCATATTTAGATATCTATCAGGCAAACACGGCCGAAGCATCAAAACGTATGATTAACTCGATCCTGATATTTTTGAAGGATAATTCTACAGGCTCATATGTATATACGAAAAGGGCAAAGGAAAATTACTGGAAGAGAAAGGTTGTCCAATTTACAATGGTTCTCAAAAAGCATATCATCGTACGAAGATCTATCAGGCCTCATATTATCAAACAGCATCCAGATCCTCATTGCTCCTTTTTTTAAGAAAAATTTAGTCCTGGTCCCAGTCACCTCCACCCTGGGGTGGCTTGGGGCCTCCAGCCTGTCTCGAGACAATGATCTGGTCGACGCTCAGCACCGTCCGGGCGGACTCACTGGCCAGACGGATCGCAGACATCTTCGTGGCCATAAGATCTAGAATACCCTCCTCGACAGTGTCTAGGGTGCCGTCGGAGTCACCAATCTCAAGGTCAACACCTGTAGTCCAGTATTGTTCCTCATCTTCGGATGAGCTTCCCTCCTCCTCATCCTCCTCTTCAGATGACTCTCCAGGGGCAGTGGTGCGGTGGTGTGCGGTGTACAGACGCGACAGAACCTCGGTGGCATCGAGACCGGCAGACTCGGCAAGTGTACGGGGAACGACCTCGAAGGCCTCGGCGAATTTGCGAATGGCGTACTGGGGAAGACCAGGGGTTCGGTCGGCGAAGTGGGAGATGCGCTCAACGAGCTGGATCTCTGTAGCACCGGCACCGGGCACGAGACGGGGGTCCTTGGTGATGGCCTTGACGACGTTGACGCCGTCATCGATGGCACGCTCGACGTCCTCCAGGTGGTTCTGGGTGGCACCGCGCAGGACAATGGTTGCTGTGCGGGTGATAGCGTTGGCATCCTCCTGACGGAAGACAGTCACTCGGTCACCGCCAATTTCGGTGGTCTCGACAATGTCAATTTGGCCCATCTCATCGGGCATGGGGGCACCCAAGCGAGCCAGAGGTGTGGCACCGACAACGCGGCACAAGCGGCGGAGCTCGAATTTAGATAGAATCTTAATGACCAGGATATTGAAACGGTTAAGGTAGTGCATGGCCAAGTCGCCAACGGTGGAGCCGGCAACGACCACACGGAGACCGGAATCGTAGAGCTCCTTAATGGCAGTCTCAAGACGATCCTCCTCGCCCGCGGTGAAGTCCATCATTTCCTTAGCGTTCTTAAGGAGAACTGTGCCCTTGGTCTCGGTCTGGCTGATATCAATGGGGCAGCTGAAAACGCCGACCTTGGCCCTGGTGGCCTTCTTGATAATTCCATCGGGCTCCCGGGGGAAGACCATGCCCTTCACCACCTTCGACTGCTCCAAGCTACCACCCATAATCTTAACAACTCGCACGTTGTCGACGTTGAAGTTAACGGGGTTCTTGGGCAACACAGCCAAAACGGCCTCCGCAACCAACGCAGCCAAAGTATCCTCCGTGCCGGACTGCTTAGAAGCCACCACTGTGCGGAGAGCCTTGCTCAATTCTGCTGCCGATCGCATATCTTGGAGTCTGTCGACCTCGAGCTCTGGACGGAATTAGAAACATTTCCTCATTTGTATATCGACAGACCAATCGTGGGAGGGGAAACATACCTTCTAGAACCGACAAGGCGAAGTTCTGAGCCTTCTCATATCCGGAAACAATATCACTCGTCTTGAGACCCATACGGATCAGCTCCTCTGCCTTCTTCAACAATTCACCGGCCAACACAATAACCAAGTTGGTACCATCACCCATCTCCGCATCCTGCTGTTGACTCGCCATAACAAGCAGCTTAGCAGCGGGGTGAACAACATCCAACTCACGAAGAATCGTAGCCGCGTCGGAGGTCAGAATCATCTTTTGCAGGTGGTTGATGACGATCTTGTTGCGGCCATAGGGGCCCAGGGAGGTCTGGACGGTGCCCGAGATAGCCTGGCAGGCTTCGATGTTACGGATAACGGCACCATCTTCGGCATCGTGGCTATACAACAGGAAAAACAAATCAGTCAATTGCTTCGCTTCTTTTTGGAGGGGCGCCAGATAAGGAGGTCCCTATTGCGGTGGGTTTTCGGGCTTCCCGACTTTTCGAACTCACCTCTGGTACCCGGGCTTGAAGAGCCCTGCCTGGGAGGGACCGGGGATTGATAGGGACATGATATTAGGTCGCGTCTGAGGAAGATGCGACTGGATATCAAATGGGTTGAATGTGACGGAGTGGATGGAGCTGTTGTGCCAGGCAATTTTTGGAGCTGCGGTGGTGGGTTTGCTTGGTTTGCACGAGGGGGAGCCCGCCAGTTGCTTGGCGTTCACTATAGATCGACTTTACAAATCTCTAGTCCTTATTTAAGTATGTTTTTTTAGTTTTATATCTCGTGAGGTCTGTAATAGGAGATGCTGTCATTTGTATTAATACATTGGCTGATGCTATTATACAATTGTCGTCAATGCCCTATCGCAACCTTGGATGCTTCATCTCAAATACGATACATGCGAATTATAAGCAGTTTGGAAACCAGGCACTAGAGAAGTTAGCAATCTAGTACGTGGGGTAAAAAAAAGAAAACTCTTACTGTATCCTTTGATAGCGCTACAGCCATTCTCGTCGTAGACTGCTTCAGCCTTGTCGAGCCTATTTAAATTAGTAACAAACAGTCAACGAAGGGGAAATTGCCATACCATCCTTGAATGGCTTCCATTCGATTGTAACTCTACTATAAGTCAGTAATGGTCTCTTTATATAGGTCTTCTCCGGGCCTACCGATGGGTGGGTGGACATGAACTGTGGAGGGGCCTCTTTCTCCTGTTCATACATGCGAGCCCATCTACCAATTATCAGCGATACTCAAAATGCTCACAAACATTTTATTGACTTACAGTTTGACGGCAGCCGCAGGGTTGAAACAGGCTTTGGACATCATCACTGGTCACAATCGTTAGCGAGATAACGCAAGCCGACCCCTGACTTCAAGGGTTCATACTTAGTCCGATCTTGTCTGCCTCGGCCTGTAGATAAAATTTAGTTAGTCAATTGGCCACCCGGGCATATAACAAAGCAATAGGGTAATCTCACCTCTTGTGTCCGCGAGTTTGGCAAGCTATACATAAGGTTCAGAAGGAAAGAAGAAAACTGCCCGGAGACGTCAAACAAGAAAGAGATGGCGAACACAGCTCCTAGCGTAATGAAACTGGTGCTCATACGCTCTGCAGGGTGGTGAGCTACAACATGAGCAATCTCGTGTCCCAGGACGGCAGCTAATCCATCTTCGTCTTTACAAATGGGCAGGATACCCGTGTAGACAAATACCTTTCCCCTAAGCCAAATAGAACAATGTTAGTCACATAGCGTCCAAACATTACACACCACAAACCCAGTAAAACATACCCGGGAAGCACAAAGGCATTAAGCATTGAATCATCCTTGATAACATGAACCTTCCAATCAGCACCCTCGATAGGCACCTGCGGGACCAACCGCTGCAGGACACCATCAACCATACGAGTAAGAGGATGGTTATGAGGCAAGACCTTCCCACGCTCAGCAATGAGGACCTCACGGTAACTCTCTTCGCCCATTTTTAGCTCCTGGTGGCGAGAGACACAGTTGAACCGCCGTCGACCGGTCATCTCCACTATCTCCGTGTTGTATAGATAAAGTCCAGATATCCCCACGCCAATCGCAACAAAGTGGTGCGGTTTTGCATTCTGTACTAAGCGGTAGACAACAGGTCGACGCGCATTGCCTCTGAACCGGTTGTACTGGTTTTGCCTTTGTTGGTATGGGGATTGGTGGCTTGAGAAGAAAGTGCGCCGGTTACTTGGGGAAGGTGTGGGGAATGAGAGTTGTGACTGGGGTCGAGATTGTCGTAGGGATTCGATCTGAGAGCGCACAGAGGAAGCCCAACGGGTAAAAAATTGAGACCCTGGGGTATTGTATGAGCGCGACGTTTGAGCTGTTAATGAGGCGGCCTTTAGTTGTGTGGATGGTTTCGGTGATAAGAAAGGATGGACGGATGCGCCCGCCCGGAGAGCGCGCGCCATATATTGACGGAGCATAGTCGAGGGCTGTTTAACTAGCTCCTTTTATGCGAAGGTAAACAAATGTAAGAAGATAAAGTATTTGCAATGGTCTAGGTAAGACCGGGCCCGGGGAAGTTGCAAGTTGAAGATCTGAGCCGGCGATAAGCCACATTCCCCATCGTACCCCCGGAGAGCAACGTCATATCTCCAACAATACCCCTTCTGTCGCCTGTGAAGATATCCTACTTTTTTGTTCGGATTAGGTGAAAATCTTTTGGATACATGATTAACTGCCCGTGAGCCATAACTTGTCACAGTACATAACCAGGCTCATGAGTCAACCGACCTGAGATATATTGCTGACAGCAAAAAAATAGTTTCGAGGTAGGTATATGCACTAATCCAATATAACTAACAGAGTAAGATAAACTATGCAAGGCTGGATGTATAGAGAAAGAAAAGCATGTCCGGTAAATCGTCATATGTTCAAACAAGTAAAGAACAAACAGAACCCCATCCCACCCCGTGCATCATAACCGAGACCGTCAGAGCAATTACATAGGAACAGAGATGTTATGTCCGAATACGGCATAAATCCAACTGGAGCGAAAACACATCAAGAATAAAGCCCCTGGTATCATGTTGCGTAGTCATGGGAACAAAGTGGTATCATAGGGATGGCAAAAGAAATCGCAAAGGGGAAAATAAGGGGAAATAACACGTCGACTCGATATGTACAAGTCGGGAATAGGAGACAATGGAAAGCGTTTCAAGAATCAAAGATAAGAGGGGGGGAAAAGACATGCTAAGTTGTAGAGAGTTGACGCCCTACTCCTCGGTC